ACCCCATGCACGCATCCCTTTTCCTCAACGACCGAGAGAGACGGTGTCGGGCGGGTTGTATGCGCTCTTGATGCGGTGCGATTTAGGTTAACAGTCCATCGTCCACCGTGCGTTTCTAGCCTCCTCGTGTGTCGAAATTAACCTAACGACCCGTATTCAGTCCTGCCGATACAACTCTTATGGACTCGTATACCAATACTACACTATGCCCGCTCAACTACCACAGCGAGCCAGCACATCCTCTCTGTCCTGCTGCCCCATCGCAGTGACGTACCCCTCCTCGTCATCTCGCCCTCTTTCCTTCTGTTGCGTCCGCATCTTCCTCTCGGAGAAGTGCCCCTACTCGCAAGGCAACAACTAGAAGGAAGCGCTCCCATTTCTCCATTTCACTTGGATTGCCAACCGTCCAAGACAAGGTCCCCCACCTTCTGCGTTCGCCACCGAAACAACTCGATTCAGAGGCTGCCAGAACGAGAAAGCATATATATGCTACGGAGCGGCGATCAAGGAAGGGACGAAGACACATTTGACGATGATGTCTACCTATCCACCACATCTGACGCGGGCTTCATTGGTTTCATTTATCTGATGTTCCTTCCCGAGCACGACTTCAGCGCCGATATGTGAACGAACCTCGACGACGGTCGACATGCCAGGATGTTCTAGTTGTTGCTCCTCCTCCGGTGTCCAGAATACTATTCGTCTACCGCTCATCCTACCTATCAGATGCACGACCGACCATGGCAATCAAGGCATTGCAAGACGTTCAACATCAGCCTTCCTTTGCCATCCGTACTCATAGATGCCCCGGGCGACGTCAAGTTGCAACCTGAGGACCGCAGAGATCGCACCATCTCTCGCCTGCAGGTCCATATACCCTGCATAGCTGCCGAGCCGACCGTATCACTCCGCCGAAGCACGTCCAGTTACCATACCTTCTCAGACGTCGATTTCCTGACACCTGATGCAGCCCCTGGTTCCATGTCGTCTTCGATCACTGCTTGTCTGTTGCCATCTACCTTTATCAGCGTCTCGAACATTCCCCCAGCACACTTGATGAAGACACCTCGCAACTACGGTTCCCGAAGTATTGCTCCGCCGACCTCCCCAATACTACCGCGCTTCAACGAGGTCGGCAATATACGGACGTAGAAAACCACGTCGCTGACAGCCTCGCCGAATGACTCGGTCGACCCATCCTTGCCGACTCATGGTCTTCCTCGTTATCCGTAATATCGTGGGATGTCGGCTCCATCCTCTATAGCGGAGCAGAATGCGTCTGGTCCGCCTATGTCCCATAGGGGGATAATACACCCAGCTTCCCGGGGTCTGACCCGAACGAAGCAGATCTCCAAGTCGTCGACAGTGGGGATAAGAGGCTTATTTCGTCAGTTCCTTACTTGCGCGGTGGTGTACGATGCTGAGAGGTTGCGTTGCAGGCGGTTGCAGGGAGTTGGGCATGTGGAGTGTGGAGTGTGTGTCGACGGGCTTGCAGGGGTTTGGCGCTGAATGCAGGTTTCAGGAACAGGGGGGCTTCCCCAGGGTGGTGTGCGTTTGAAAAAGAACGAATGAGTCTTGCATTTATATCGCACTGCATTGCATTTCCGATTTGCGTGAGCAGATTTATGTAAAGTGGACAGTTTGATACTCGAAAATCCTAGAACTACAGTACGGAAATAACACTGTGCCCTGCAGGCCCGCAGGGCTATGCCAGCACTCTGACGCCTTCCCGACATTGACAACACGTCACCGCTGATTCTGAATCAAGGCGGCTCCTCCGCTCTTGGCGTCCTCGAAAGTCACATCCGACACTTGCAATTCGTTTCGAGAAGTGTACACATCTTCTGTCAGCGCGTTTGCGCAGGAATCCGTATATCTGGTGCCGTTATCGCCATCGATGTTGGCCTTCTTGTCATCGATGTCGTAGTCAATATGGAAGCGCTGCTCAAATTGAGAGAATGTTTCCCCCAGCTCTCCGTTGTGCGTGCGTGTACTGGGGACTAGTCAGCAACGACATGTGGCCGGTCTGAGGAAACCCGTACGGAATCTTTATGTGGAGCTTGTTCAAGACGAAACGAAGCGCTTTCATATACTCCTGCATCGCGCCGCCAGACAAGCCAAAGAAGACGAAGAAAGCGATCGCAGATACAGGAAGACACCATCGGGTCAATGACGTGACGACCCACTCTAGGGGGGTTGACTGAAGAATCAAGTCACTTCGAAACTCGATGTCATCTAACGTAGGTTCAGTGACATCGACGGATCTCAATCCGGAGGCTTACACCAGTGGGCATGTACATAATCCCACGAAATCCAAGGGTTGATACCAGCATCGCCCACACTGAGATAGAAAATCCAGAAGCCCAACGGAAGCGTGAATGCCATCTCCCCACAGGATAGAGCCATCAGACGAATGTAGCGGCTCTTTGTGTAGCCAAGTGATTTGTTTTTTTAGGTTTTCATTCCATTCAAGGTGTGATTTTCGAAAGACCATAAAGGCCGCAGCTATTGTACTGTGTCAGACTTCAAGGGCTACAGATCTCTTGAATCCATGCTCACCACCATATGCAAGTGATGCAAGCCCGAGAGTAAAAGGCCACTGGAACACCAGCCATATGGCGTTCCAGCACCAATATGTATGTGCCCAGCAGCCAACACCTTGTACAATATCATAACGACGCCCCTAGAGTTTAGTTAATGATGTAGGATTCACGGAGCACAGCATCTCATACCTGAACAATGTAATGCAAGACCATCACTGCAGCTGGGAGCCCTGCTGTCAACGATAATTCCTTGAAGGCAAGACGTCTCAGTGATGGGCCATCTAACTGAGGGAGCTGCATGGTAGCAATAAGGTAAAGCCGGCGGTTGGTGCATAGACATGCTGCGGGAATGCCGACACTCATTCCGACTTGGAACTTCGCAGCTTATACAAGGTCAGTAATGAAACAGACACGATGCAGGAGTGAAAAATGCATACTAATATCACACCACACGGGAGCCGGATCCCACAGCGCGTTGAACCAAACGACGGAGTTGACGAAGTAGAACAGGTTGCCGAAGAATACATAGAAGATTAATGACAATGTCCCTGTGTTCACTGCCCGAATGTGCCAAGAGATAGGCAAGAGGACGAGCAACAATGAGACGCCGGAAAAGGCCTGGAAGACGACATCATGCATGGTGGGTGGGGTTCTGAAAGAGGGGGATGGGGAGAACGAGACGGTGTTAGTTCTGGCGCGCTGGCTAATAAGGCTGAGGGGCAGGTCGGAAACAGGAAGGAAAATATCCTCGTGTACTTGTTTGCTGTAGGGACATGCGAAGCGTTGTTTTCACGTCGAGAAGGTCGAAACAGTGGTTTTTGCTTTGTTTGCGTGTTCACAAACGTCAGACCCTCTTGCGTAGGAGATGAACTTTGTTTGTTTCGAACAAAAGAAATTCAAATGTCGAGGCCAGCGAGCGGAAGCAATATGGTCGTTTGACCGAACCCAAACAATGCCTCGTGGTCTGGTTCCTATGGACTGGCGTGGTCACAGACCACCAAACAATGCATTATGCTGGGATGCTATCTCGTGTATTGTGTCAATGGCCAAAAGGCCAGAACGTACCACTGTACGAGATCTCCCAGCTATATAACCTCCCCTCTGGATACTGGAAACTACACCATCGCAGCACATATCCCGTCGCTCACCCTTTTCATACGGACTTCTCACATTTCCTCCTGTCAATGACGCTGTTACATTCTGCCGCGCAGAATGAGGAAGAAACAGGCCCAGTCGACAGTGAGGTTAGCAGAGGGAGTGGTTATTACTGCGTCATTGCATGAGTGCGTGATTCCAGACTTCCATCAACTTAAGACGCTTATGGGATAACGGGGCAGGAATACGAGCTGTATGCATATGGTTCTCTCACAGGACTCCCTTCCCTGTCGTTGTCGTATACCTGTGGGCTCGAAATCGAAACCCAAGAGTCCAGTATGCATATGCATGTTAAATCCCACTGATCGGGCTTTGACACTTGCGATTTTCTCTTTCTCCTTCCGCGACTTGAGTTGTCCTATGCACCTTCAAATTCCTTAGATTCACTTTCTTTCCGTCCTATTACAAGTTTTGAGTGCTGTACCATTTGTAGTAGTCGTTTACGTACTCGTCATTCAGTTGCACTCAGTGACGGCATGGCCGGGAGATATTCCCATTGCAAGACTGAACAGCTTCCAGGAAACGCCTTGCGATAATGTACCAGTACTACGAGTAGCACTACGTACGAGTACTTCAGTCACGGTTGGTGCCGGAATACTTGAGGCTGAGCGCAGTGCCGGCGCCGGGTGCAGATTGGACGGAGGCTTTCTAAGTGGCGCAAGTGCTGTCAGGATAACCAAGACCCGTTCCCCTCGGGGCACCCCCAACCAAATCCTCAACCACCACCTACCCTTCACCTCAGCGCTAGAAAAATAATGGTCGTCAAGATTGGCATCAATGGGTGAGTTCATCTTGAACCCAGATTCGACCATCCCTTTCCGTGACCGCGTTATTTACATGTTCTTCGCAGATTCGGTATGACGCTCCCGTGGAATCCAGATGTCTCTTCCGTGTTCGCTGATCAATATCCTGTATATAGGCCGCATTGGTCGGATTGTCATGAGAAACGCGATTCTGCACGGTGACGTTGAAGTCGTGGCTGTAAATGAGTGAGTTCCGTTACGTGGCCGCAGTGGACTGTTGGCTGACTCATTCTCCCTCAGCCCCTTCATCGATCTGGCGTACATGGTGTCGTCTTTCTGATACTCGTTGAATGTGATGATGTTCATTATTTTTGAAGGCGTACATGTTCAAATACGATTCCACTCACGGTATCTTCAAAGGTGAAGTGACTACCAGGGATGGCAAGCTCGTCGTGAACGGTCAGGCAATCGCTGTGTACGGCGAAAAGGATCCCTCTGCTATCCCTTGGGGCCAACATGAAGCTTACTACATCCTGGAGTCTACTGGCGTCTTTACAACGACGGAGAAAGCCTCTGCTCATCTTAAAGGAGGCGCCAAGAAGGTCATCATTTCAGCCCCTTCTGCAGATGCACCCATGTTCGTTTGTGGTGTCAACTTGGAAGCCTATGACCCTAAGTACACGGTATGCCCACCATTGTGTTGCTAATGAACGAGGCTCATGGATGCAATAGGTCGTCTCCAACGCATCGTGCACCACGAATTGTTTGGCACCTCTTGCCAAAGTGCTCCACGATAACGTATGTCATGACGGCCGCAGTTCGGACATCATTAACTCATTCTTCTACAGTTTACCATTATCGAAGGGTTGATGACTACGGTACATGCGACTACCGCTACCCAGAAAACTGTAGATGGACCTTCTCACAGTATGTAAACGGCATATCACGGATAAGAGCGCATTGTGCTGACCATGGCCCCTCTCAGAGGATTGGCGCGGTGGACGCGGTGCCGCCGCCAACATCATCCCTTCCTCCACGGGCGCCGCCAAGGTGGGTCAAGTTTCTCGCCGTGTCTATCCCTCAAGCTAATGATTGGATAGGCTGTGGGCAAGGTTATACCATCCCTGAATGGCAAGCTCACCGGCATGTCTTTCCGCATCCCCACGTCCGACGTGTCGGTTGTTGATCTCGTTGCCCGTATTGAGAAGCCAGCTACCTACGACGAGATTAAGGAGGTCATGAAGAAGGCGTCGGAGACCACAATGAAGGTACGTCGATAGGACCCACGTGCTGTGCGACCAACATTCATTTTCATAGGGTGTTCTGGGATACACCGAGGATGCTGTTGTCTCCACCGACTTCGTGGGCAATCCGAACAGTTCCATCTTCGACGCTGCCGCAGGAATCAGTTTGAACAAGAACTTCGTCAAGTTGATCTCGTGGTATGACAACGAGTGGGGTTATTCTGCCCGTTGCTGCGACCTGATCGCATACATGGCGAAACAGGATGGCAACGCCTAAGGTCGAGTGTTTGCTCCTAGGCGTGATCCTGGGTAAGAAACGTGTACAATTGAATCCCAAAATAGTGTGTCAATCCTCCAAGAGCTTGTAGTAGAATATGAATAAAGAACTCAACATTCTCACCATATCATGGCGGACAGCAGGAAAGCGTGGCGATGAAAGATCAAAGCCAAAGCGCGTGTGATGTACAAGTTGCCATACGTGCATTAACAGGTTCATTTCAACAAACCTACAGTTTGCCCGTGTGCCAGCTCTGATACATTTCTGCAAAGGCACTTGGTCGGTCTAACAGCCTTTCGAAGCAGTCAAACTCTACAACCTCCCCTTCAACTATCACCATGATTCGGTCATATTGTCGGATATGGGAGAGATCGTGGCAAATGGAAAGGACGGTGTACTCTTGCATCGCTGTCCAGACTATCAAAAACTGCTCAGTCGAACACGAAGAAGTTGAAGTTTCAAGGAGGGGAACATACTCGGTGCTTCATAGAGAATATCCATCGCTATGACCCGACTTTTAGTTTAAGCACGGGCGGAGAAGGTTTCGTACCACACCTTCATCCAGGACCAGGACTGCCGGTCGAATGACCAAGGCTCTAGACATGCCAACAAGTTGCTTTACTTGTTTAGGGACATGCTCAACATCTACCTGGTCGCTCCTATTGAAACCCCTATTCTCAAGTCGGGTAATGGCCAGTACTCGTTCCAGTGCTGCCTCATTGGGAGCATCGATGTTATCGCAAAAGCTGGAGGGGAATACCTGGGGGTCATGCGGTACAAATGCGATCAGTCGAAGATGATCTGGTGAAAGCTGCTCGATTCTCAACCCTCCCACATGGATAGATCCGGTTTGAGGAAGGAAATGCATCAGTGCAAGTGCCAATGTCGTTTTTCCGGAGCCGGTACGCCCAACTGCGAACCTGTGTCATCTCGCAAGCCGAACAGTGCAAGGATAACCTACCAACAGCCACTTTCCCTCTGCTGTGCAAACAAAACGACACATTTTTCAAAACCGTACAGCTTCCTGGGAACCACGCAGTAAGATCTGTCACTTTCAAAGTGGGTCCTGTGGTACCTCAATCGGCGATAAGGGCGTGGGCGTAGGAATTGAAGTTTCGGCGGAGAGATGCGTGGTTCGCGTAACTTCTTGTACGCTGAAGGGGGTGTCATGGTGCGCTTGTCAATGGCCAAGAGGACATACCGGCTGGCTATAGCGCCACAAGAAGCGGTCAGCTCTGTGCCGGTGCAGGATCAGGGATCGTACCTTGTGTCAACAAGGTGGTGACCAAGTCAGAGAAGAAAAGTATTGTCCGTGCTAGGCCACATAGTACAGGCAGAGAAGCTCCGGAGAGGGGGTCACGACGGTCCAAAACTGCATATCCGTGAGAGATCACATATCCAGCAAGCGACAGATGAGTTAAAATATAATTTCCCTGTTCTGGTGAGAGTCATAAGAGAGTCATTTGACATTATCATGAGACTCACCATTGGTGAGACCAGCCAGTGCCTGTGACGTGGTCTGAATACTTAACCCGCGGATTCTTGCCATAAAACATGCTGTGGTATTCAATCCCCACATACAAAGACGCCCTTCGGACAGTTCACGGGCCAATCCCTGAAACTCGGCCTGATGGACCGCCATGGCTTTTGTATTTTCAATCATCCCTGCATATCGACATTTGGGTGTGTGTGTTTGTGCAGACTAGATGGGTACAGGACGCACCTTTGAATCTCTCAGCTGTTCTTACACAAAGAAAAACAACGATAGCTGCCAAAGGAAGGCTGGACCATAGGGCGGGACGACTAAAGTGCGATATCAGATAGAAGAGCCCCAAAGTCTAGGCAGGCCTACGAAATAAAGACAAGCTTCACCACAATGGAGAGTCCACAAGTTAACACTTCATATATTTGTGCTGCGAGAGGCATTGTTGGGAGCAATGCAGAGGGCGGGATCAGTGGTGCTTACAAGGAAGTTCATTTTCCAGCACTCGGAGGTGGCAGAAAAGGGCGTTGTGTAATGTGGCATGCGAAGAACTATGTATGCATGACTGATCAATTCGGGCGACAGACTTATCCCTACTGAACATGCTTACGGTGTATGGCGGATTCTGACTGTCGCCTTGATGAGAGACACGTGAAGCCTTTCCGATGCTCTAAGTCCAGCCCACATGAATGAACCAAGGATATAAACCTGAATGGGATAAACAGATGTCAAACAAGCAGCCACCGAACTCTCTTACGAAGATCATCCCGCAAATGCAACCCAGACCAATTTGTATCCTGGCCAAAGCAAGATGAGCGCGCCATCTACAGAGCAAGCGTTTGGTACATACAGCCAAATGCGTACGCCTTCATCTGCCACGAGATCATTTTCAAGCCACTCTTTCAACTTTGCAAAAGATTTCAGGTTTCTCATCGCACTACTCAAGCTAGTTGCATACCTTTCCGACTTGGATCACGTAAGAAGCTTGCGACTACAACTTGAATGCTCTGTGCGGTGGTGAACATGTACGACCAAAATTTGCACACTACATGGGGTGGGTGTATCCTGTAAGCATTCAGAGCTAGGCAATCTGACAGAGTGGCTTACCCGCGAGAATATTTTGATTGAGGCTCGATTCACCATGACAGCTAGAGTCCATATCGAGGTTTCCTCCAGCATGTTCAGGGGTGAGCCTTCAAACCGTGATGTTAATACAGTCGGGGCAGTTAAAACAATGTTGTTTCTTGTCAAATGGCCAGCTACTATCGTGAATTCATAGTTTGGGCGAAGACCCTTTATATAGGAGGTGCACTACTTGCACGTCAGCGACCCGTAAGGATTCAAAGAACAGTTCATTACAGTAATGACAACGCATCGTTGCTTGAGGATAGACGCATTGGGACTGAATATCACATCATTAAGCCTTCTGGCATGGTTTCACTAAAAGGGAAAAGACGCACCAGTGTTCAACTACATGGGATCGAGTTCGGCTGTCTAAATTGATGAGGCAATCATCCAGGAGTAGAGTATCTGCCTGGCTGTATACAGCACGTGCCAAGGCAACTCGCACCTATGACCACCATTCATTAGATGCAGCGACAAGCGTCCAAACATAGTAGGATACCGACACGTTGTCCCGCACTAGTGGAAGCGACACTTTAGCTCGGATTTCTCGAGTATGACATGAGCAGACGCGGAATTTACCTTAGACAGCCGCCTTGCCCTCCGCAGATGGTTTGATCGTGGCGAGGTAAACGTTCGAGGTCTTTGTCCAGAGCGCAAGCATGGAGAACTATGATATAGAGGGACATCAATGACTGGAAGCTCATGTGGTGTATAGCATTTTTCCACCTTGACGGTACCGGCTGGCATTCCACCTCATTCCGAACAAGATATTTTGCTTGGTATGATGTATCAGCTTCAAGTAGCCTCAAGGAGTGCACATAGTCTCATACCCTTATAGTCCCATTGCATATAAATGGGGCATGGCCGACATATGCAATACTGGCGTGTTGCTTACCAATACGTTGAGTGGTACTCAGGCGATTACCAAGTAAGCCAAGGAGCAAAGTCGTCTTCCCAGAGTCTCCAGGTCTGGACAGGAAAAAAAAAGTCAACAGGTTCAGTGCACCACTAAAAAACAGTACCGACGCGCAGATGAGGTGAATGCCGGCGCCATTGATGGACTGGTCGCGTAGATATACTCTGGACGGTTTGGAAGAATAGAGACCCGGTCGCCTCCATTCGAAGCAGAGAGAGCCATCTGTGCGTGTGTTCGCAGGATTCCTTGCAACTACAGTTGGTATTGCGTCGACCAGGGGAGGACCTTCGTTCAGAAGTGCGTCTAAGCTCTGGAGGGAAGACCAGCCTGCCAGATGGGGCCATATGAGCGCAGCATTCAGAGATGTCCCCGTACGAACCATTTTCGAAGACTGGCACTGGCCGCCTCTGTTGTGGAAAGAGAAGCACGAAGGGCTTGCCCAAGTAAAAGGACCTGAATTCCTATATCAACTGAAAGCTGACCTTTAGTGCAGTTCGCTTTATAAACTGGGAGCGCACTGGTGAAGGGCCTCTTGTTCACGATTGTCCAGTGCCACCAAAGGACGGACATGACGATCAGCGGCACTGCAGTCCTATTCGGCCCGTCAGTCAGAGCTCGGGAAAGAGGCCAGCATCCACTAGACGAACCCTGAGAGCGTCATTCTAACCAGAATTACAATATATCGGCGCCAGGTCCTGTCTGTCTCAATGGCACAGATTCTTTCTGCAGCTGTAGCCAGCTGGGTGCGAATTTGGCGAAGTGAGGGACAGCCGTGGGCATCCAATACTTGAAACGGGTGAAGAAATAGTAAATCGGAAAACGCATACACCTACGGGAGTGTAGTCCCTGTTCTCGTTCGTTCACCTGCGCGGTCGGGTCAGCGGGAAAGTGACTGGAGACTCTCTGCTTACCGCTTGCCTATGCGCGCTCATGATGACAGATGCAACAGCTGCGAGCTTCAGGTCACACAGGCACATGAGAACGCAGCCTCCTACCAAAGAAAATATCACGCTAACTCCTACGTCAGTACCATGTACGAAATCTAACTGAAAAAAGACGGTACTTACCTCATGCCTAAAACTGAGAAAATGCGCATGGCAAGCCACACTCCTTCTGTGATCGCCGCCAAAAGCTCCATCGAAGGAATATGGAGCTTTGATATAGACTGAATATCAGACCAATAGCGCCCTTGAGGAACAAAAATCAGCACGTCCAACCTACTTAAACGTAAACACGCACCGAATAGTATGTGTGAGCAAGCATTGCTAAGTGGAACTCGAAGAACCTCCTCGGTCAGCTTTTCGGAAATTTGCTTCACCAGAACCCGCTAAATAGAAGTCAATGCGCTGAGAGACAAAGCATGGATTCGCTCACAGAAATCAGGTGTCCCATGTATGCAGAGGCAAGAAATAGACACTTTTAGGTCGCTTCGTGAGGACACCGCTCAGAGAAAATGGATGACTGACTTGACATAGAGTCCAGTTCCATAATGGCCATGTACCAAGGCAGCTAGATGGAACGTTGAAAAGGGAGCTGTGTGGTATTAGCTCGGTCGTCTCTGCAGTGCTCTCATGATGGGGCTTACGTAGTCACGCCGCCCATGGCATATAGGGCAAGAATACTCCAAACAGACTAGGGGACAGAGTTATCCACGCTTGGCAGGTAAGCTTGGATTTTACGCACCTGAGAAACACGGAAAATAGCAGCAAGAATAAGTAATGGCCATGCTGGCAGCAAGAGCCGGGACATCCGGCCTTGGTACTGCAGCCGAAACCAGGAGATGCAAAACCATTGCATATTCGAACTTGCGTCCAGCATTGTAAGACTTCTCGTATCTCAGTGGTGTAGAAGCATGGAATGGAAAACTGGGAGAGAGCATGGGATAGAGAATGCTGATCATCGCGGTCAACTAACTGATGGTAATTGTCACTACGGCAAGATGGTGTGACGTGGCAAGCCAAACAAAAAAACATGCGGGGCGGGTCCAGAGACGGGGCGGAAGCAATCATCTCATCTGGTCACGTACCTCACTCTGAGCTTCTGGCTGTCTACCTGTCCTAGTAGTCGATCGACCATGGGCCAATCTTTACTAGGACGCTACCCAGCACGGGAAGCAGCTAAACTCGGCTGTGCTCGGGTTCGTACCGGTCCTGCCAGTGTCTGTCCAAGAACCTCATATTGGCCCTTAGTATGTCGGACATATGATCCAGTGGATATCATCGCCGTTTAGGATGTGGTATGCTGGGTTGCCCTTCTCTTTAGGCTTTGAATTACGAAAGGTGTTTTGATACTGAGTTATGATGGCCGATAAATCCCTTCCACGCGGGAGATGCACGGTCCCAGATACATGTGCTCTTACAAACGTATTGCAATTATCTAGCAACGGCATCTTCTGGTGCTAGTGTTAACGTTTCTCTGTCCTCGTCGTCAAGCGAGATAGATGGTCGAATATATGTACCGTAACAAATTCCTACTTTTATCTACGCTTCGTTACTTGACGCATGTGACTTACGGAAGAAGCTGCTCGTTTTTCGTATCGGTGATCAAACGAGAACCTGCATCGAGCCGATAATAAGTATAGGTCTCTCCTAAGCACCACGTTCGTACAATCTCTCCATGATATGTGTCATAAGTTTCATATTGAATTCTACAGAGCAAGGATATCAGTACCTCGCAACTGCCTCCACACACGCTATTCCTCAATTCACATGATTCATATCGAAATTCAGTGCCCGCGACCGATATCTCGTGTAATCCATGGCGATTCAACCTTGCGCGTTACTGAGTGAAGACGGGCACGTATCGCAATTGTAGCTCACATGGGTGTGCGATATGTAGTTTTGTGACGATTGCATGTGTGAAAGACAGGATACAGCTGTGTAACTGTACAGGATACTGACTAAGATCTGGATGTACGCAAGAGAGAGAAGTGTTCGGAAAGGGAAAGACTTGGACGCGATTACATGGAGAGCTCAAGGAATGCGAACAGAGATGATTCAGGACGACAGAAAAAGAAAGAAAACAGATCGAGGATCGAGGACGGAATTACCCCAAAACGCAGGAGAGAGTATGCATGAACGTGTCTATCAGACAATCAGCATCCGGACGTTACGCAGGCGGGAGTACGCATACTTAGACGACGATGCAATATGCGCCCCAACCCGAACGCGAATCCTCGCAGACCGGGGGTTCGCAACTTGCATCGGTATCACTGACCGCAGCGAATAAAGGCAGGACCATTACGTAGAAATGCATGGTAGACGTTTGGGGAGTGTGTGGTGTTGCTTTGCGGTGTGAGCACGGTGTGAAGGAATCCGTCTAGTGTGGTACGTTCCTCCAGAGAGCTTGCTATTTATACGGAGGTTTATCACGGCACACTGCAGAGAGGGCCTTGTGCGGAAAGGCCAAACAATGTTTTCGTAAGTGTGGTAAGCCAGCGGAAGAGGGCCAGATGGTCAGTTGTTTGTTTGAGACGACTGTGAGGGCCATGACGGTCATGGTCGCCTGGAAACAGCCGGACAGTCGTCTGAACAAAAGAAATGCGGAAGCAATTTGTTTGGCCAGTGTGGTCACAAAAAGCTTTTGTTTATCTGGTTCCGCTCTCTCTGGGCCATCGAACAGCATGGAGTCTGGCGGGCTCATAAGGCCGAAGCTGGGGCATGGCCCACAGCACACCTCAACATACACCATACACCGTCCCTCCAACTCAGACGATGATTCCTCACCCTGAATTGCCCATCGGGGCCTTCATTGCGTTCATCTGCTTAATGATTTGTTTACCTTCTCACCTTCGAGTCCGGAATGTTGCAAGTTCCAGTATGAACATCTGGCTTTCCCTTGTCTGCCTCATCTCGGGCATCAATTCTGTGGCCTGGGCCATGGATATGATTGTCCGCTTTCCTATCTGGTGTGATATCGGTGCATAATCTGTCTCTCCTTAGTAGTACATCACTGACCCCAAAAGCAGTAACCAAAATTCTTATCGGAAGCAATGTCGCATTTCCAGCAGCTGCCTTCAGCATCTGCCGTTTCCTCTGTGATGTTGCACGACCAAATGCAAAGGAGCAAACAATCAAGACAAGAAGATCCCGTGCTTTCGTGGAGATTGTGCTATGCTGGGTGCAGCCAATTGTCGTAATGGCGCTTCGTATGTCCTTTCATCTCATTGTTTGACATCCGAACCGACATCTTGGCACAGACTACATCGTTCAGGGCCATCGCTATGATATATACGAGTACATTGGGTGCCAGCCCACCTATTACGACACCTGGGCGGCTCTTTTCATTATAAACATACCCCCTTTGGTGTTCTGCTTCGGCACTTTCGTTTATGCTGGTAGGTCCTCTGTCTTTTGCGCAGCACGACAGGACACTCACCGCTTCCCAGGGCTTGCCTTTTTCTACTTTCTGCAACGTCGCCGTGACTTTGAGCTCCTGACCAAGATGAGCCCGGACATGAACGCCAACAGGTACATCCGTCTCATGACGGTCGCGACTGCCGAAATGATCTGGGGTACTCCATGGTATCTCTTCGTGCTCGTATCACAATTCACTGATTACGCCTTTCAGCCTTGGGTCAGCTGGGACTATGTTCACTCGAACTGGTATCGCGTCGGCCAATATCCCCTTAGTCTGCTCACCCCAGAAGAGCGCAATATCCATCTAGCACTATGGTGGGTCACCCCGGTGTCTGGCTTCCTCTTCTTTGTATTTTTCGGGTTTTCCGATCAAGCAATGAGGGACTATCGGGGTGTGATCCGCTGGGTCCGTGTGCACATTCTGCGCCACAACCCAGACACCTCCGGTCGAACAAGGTGGGTATCATTCAGAGTACTTCTCGAGCGATGCTGATCTGACTCAGTAGGGGCAAAAGGAGCATGATCTTCTCTCGTCACCGAGTAACCGACTTCGAGGATTTTGCAAAGAACCTAAATATCGATATCCCGCGCAAGGTTCTAGATGCGGAGGCGATAAACAACCCAGATACTTGGTCAGGTTGGGTTTCCAAGATTGCGAAGGATGACGCCGCGGGTGTTGGCGGGCATCCCCCTGTTCCGGCCCCCCTGTTCGAGCAGCCTATCAGCCACACTATCGGAGGTTTGTCTGGAAACCAAATAGCATCGGGTAAGGACGACAAGGCGGTCCTCTCCTCGGATAACCCCAGCAACGACAACCGCCCGGTTCAACTCAGCGACAGCGTGAGGCCGCATCCCCCGTCGGATATCGAAAGTCATATATGCTGCTCCTGCAATCTGCTGATTCGTCCCCACACACCCACTTCTCACGTTTCCACAGTGTCTGGGAAGCCGGCCACTCGTTTTCTCGTATAATCAGGTAAAGACGCCGTCCCAGTAGTTCTCCTGCCTTTTCCGGTATTACCTCAGACACTGCCCCCTTTGTATTGTAGTCTACTCTGTTAGGGAATATGAGCTCGTATACCAGGGGTTAGTCTACGTGCTGGTTCAGGGGACCACACCCACCTACTACTTTCCTACTCAATGAAGCGTGTTTCTTCTCTCTTGCAAAACTTCTCACACTTGATCTATCTCCTGCTCTCTTGTAAGCCACTGTACGGTGTCCAATACATGGGTAACTGGTCCAGTCGCGTACAAGGAGGCGCCAGGAGAAGAACTTAGTTTCGATGCCGTTCGGACAGACATGAGGGACAGACGGAGGAGCAGGTGAAGAGAACCGACGTGCTGCGCCAACAGTGCGGGCATGGTGGATGGATCATGTAAGGGCGGCACCGTGTACGACAGAGTGCAACAGCAGTCGCAATCTGTTTGCACGTCTGTATGCAGGGTGAGGGAAGGAACGCACTCTGGGTTTGCGCCTCGATATAAGATTATGCGCTCCGAGACCCCTGTCCGAGTTCGATCATACTTGCATGACATCAATACATTTCCTTTTCCATCAGATGTTGTTCTACCGGTTGGGTGCGACTCATGTTTTGTACACGGTGAGATACAGACTTGCTCAGAGCGATGAACTCATAGATACGCATAGAGATACTGTATGTTTCCATTTTCACTGCACGAAGACGCTCGCTGACAGGCGTGCACAGCACGGAAATTGGTTCGAGGATATCGAAGTCACTCATTTTAGACAAGGCGTGTCGCATAGAGAAGCACTATATCTCGTGATATTGACATCCAGTCGGTCATTGACATCCAGTCGGTCATTGACATCCAGTCGGTCATGGCGAACTAAACCTGGGAGGAGAGTCAGCATAGACTCGCCATAGACAGCTGATGGGACTGCGCACCAGGAACATCTCTTCTCTCTCTCTTCTCTGAGACACCTCAGGCTCGCTTACATGTGTCGCATATGCTACGAATCAAAGCATAAAGAGCGACGCACAATAGATCAATGTTACCAATATGTCATGACTGTAGTTCCAACCTCGAGAAGTGGCGTGAACATCACGTAATTGGCTCCGCTTTTCTGGCCTTTTTTTGACGCGCTGAAATCCGCCTCGGCACCGACACGTACAACCGTACAACCGTCTGGTATTGGCAATGGTTCGAAGAGAGACGGCGTCGAAGCAAGGGGGCTATGTACTGGGACTTGCCAGCAACGTCCCAGAAAATCCGGCATGATCTGAATCCCGATGGCGTGGCCTGTGCACGAGGCCACCCTGGATGCCTTATCTACTTGACCTGTATCTTGTCACCTCACCCGTCCTTCCACCTGTCATCATGGCGGATGACGATATTCGTCTCGCCAAGCTCAAAGAATATTTTGACGCTGTTCTTGCCGGAAAACACTCGCTCAACCGACGATCCGTCCCTTTATTCCTTGAAGGCCTCTACCATCATCCAGACCCAGTATCTTGCGTTCACAAGCTCATCTCGAACGCCAAGCGTCTTTCTTTGCTCCAGCAAGCCGTATTTTCCGATATATCATCGCCGGTCTTGCAAATGCATATAACGTCGTTGATATTGTACCTCCGCCATCCGTCACTCAAAGATCTCGCTGATGGCGACTACCTTCAACGAATCGTTCGCCACCTGACGGAACCCCCGATTCTTCTGGATGCCTTGGAACGAGAATACCGAAGCGATCGACTTGCAGACGACTCGCTGCTTGCCTTGGGCTGGCTGACACTGCAGCTCATCTCTCTTCCTGACGCGCACGCCCACGATTACCGCCGGGTTGTCACTTCCAATGGCATACTCGATGCGCTCATCTCTTCTCCCCGCGAGGACACTCGCTCGATCGGCTATAGGCTCAAGCATTTTGTGGAGACGTGCAGTGTGGGCGCCGATCCTGATCTCGAAAACGGCCCGGGCGGCCGACACGATAACGATCATGTCAACTTTCGAGAAATCGCCATTCTTCCCACCACGGACGAAATCCATTGCAAAACTCCTGTTTTTCTGCGCACTGCTGTAGAAGTCGAAGACATTCCGACAGATCAGCGTCTTCAAACCCACCTCGATAACCAGTTCCGTCTGCTTCGCGAGGACATGCTCAGCGAGCTCCGACCGGAGCTCGACATTGCTACGGGCAACAAGAAGGGTCAACATCGTGGTCTCGTTGTTGAAGGTCTCCGGCTCACAGGCATTTATGCCAAGGCCCTTGAGCCTAAGGAGAAGGGCCGCCACGATAAGTGGGGTATCATTCTGGAGTGCCCGAAGAACTACGATTTCTGGTTTTTCAAGAAGGACCGCCCCAAGAAAAGAGAAGAATATCTGCTGGAGGAAGGCAATAAGCGATTCATCAAGGACATGTCCACCGCTGGCCTTATCGTCGACGATCGCGTGGTTGCGTTTCCCACCATCCGGCGCATCACTTCGCTCTTAGCGGCAAAGCCTCCATCCTTTGTTCTCCAAATAGAGGAAGAAGACGCGTTCATTCGGACGTGGATGAGCTTCCAAAAGGCACGGAATATCAAGCTGATACAGGTCGACACGCCGGTATTCTCGTATGAGCCCGTTCTTAAGGCTCTTCAGCGCATCGAGCATTCGCCTCTGCTCTCTGAACTGATTTGCTGGGATCCTGGTTACGCTGTTCAAGATCCTGCAATGTCTCCCAAACTGCTTTCCATCGTGGAAAAAGTGAGACGGAATCCCGCACAAGATCTTGCCTCCCTTACTGGCAGCTCCAAACCACTCGTGCTCGACAGTGCCCAAGCAAATGCACTGCTTTCTGGTCTAACCAGGAGTGTTTCCATCATACAAGGCCCACCAGGTATGTCGTCAGTCCATTGTCTGATTCAATACCAAAATCTCCCGGCCAGGCACAGGGAAGTCCTTCATCGGCGCGCTTCTGGCCAAGCTCTTTCACGACAACACAAATAGCAAGATACTTGTTTGTTGCTATACCAATCACGCGCTGGACCAGTTTTTAGAAGATCTTTTGGATATCGGAATCCTCGCCTCTGGTATTGTTCGCCTCGGCGGCAAATCGACACTGCGTACTGAGCCCCTGAGCCTTTACAACCAACGAGCACTGGGGCCCAGATTTCGCCATAGCGATTGGACAGAGATCAACGGGTACCACAGACAGTCCTCAGCCGCTGCCGCCCGTCTAAATCGTTCATTCTTGGCTGGCTCCCTAGTGACCCACAAGAATCTCATGACACATATTGAATTTGACGATCCTGATTTCTACGAAGCCCTTTCGTTCGAGAACGAGGACAACATGCAGACGGTGGGCAAGAATGGACAACGAATTGCCCCAAACTATCTTTTGAGTCGCTGGCTGAAAGGCCAAGATGCTGGCGCGCTACGCGAGCTCCCATGTGTTCTGGCGTCGTCCCGGATATGGGTTATGCCACTTGAGCAGCGCATCGCCAAACGTACCCAATGGGAAACTGCCGTCCTGAATCAATACGCGCGCAAGCTGTTTCAAGAAGGTCGCAGGTTCAACATTTCTCAAGGGAATCTTGAGCGCAAGTTTGCGAGTGGAGAACGATCGACGCTATGTTCAAAGCGCATTGTTGGTTGCACCACTACGTATGCGGCCAAATATAAAGAAGACATTGCGGCAGTCAAACCAGACCTCGTTCTCGTGGAAGAGGCTGGGGAGCTTTTGGAGAGCCATGTTCTTACTGCCTTAGTATCAACCACGAATAGGCTGATACTTATCGGGGACCATAAGTAAGTCAGAGGCCTGTCGAGGGGATGTGACACTTACGGTGATACTCAGGCAGCTTCGCCCCAAGGTTGATAGCCACGACCTCACTGTAGAGAAAGGACGTGGATATGACCTCAACAGGTCTTTGTTTGAACGGCTTGTCATGAAGGGCTTTCGACACGATACTCTGAGCAAGCAGCATCGTATGCGTCCGGAAATCTCGGCCTATGTTCGCCGCCTGACCTACCCAGAGCTTGTGGACGGTGATGGTACGCACAACCGTCCGGACATCCGTGGTCTGCGGGACAATATCATATTCTTTGCGCATTCTAGTCCGGAGGATGAAGACGCCGGATCGAATGATATGGAGCAAGGGCACAAGTCTTCCAAACAAAACGAATTCGAGGTGGCAATGGTTCTGAAAATTCTGCGCTACCTCGGACAGCAAGGCTATGGCACAGATGAAATAGCGTGCGCCCATTTCGAACTTACAAGCTGCCAGTCCTGACCGTGCTAAATAGCATTCTCACCCCATATCTGGGCCAACTTCACCGGCTTCGCGAAACACTCCAAAAGGACAATGATCCTGTTCTGAATGACTTAGACACGTTCGATTTAGTGCGAGCGGGACTATTGTCTGCGCATGCTGCCTCTATTACCAAGAAGCGTATTCGTTTGGCAACAATCGGTATGTGAAATCATTCCAGCTATCTAATAAAGACTTACCGAGGACAGATAATTATCAAGGAGAAGAAAGCAGCATTGTTATCGCCTCACTCGTTCGAGGCAATGCAACTCGTGACATAGGATTTATGTCCTCTCCAGAACGAGTGAATGTCTTGATGTCTCGTGCTCGAAATGGTCTCATTATCATCGGTAATCTTGATACCTTCTCCGATCCTCGGACTGGAGGAGGGACTTGGGTACCGCTCTTGTCGATGCTGAAGGAAGACGGACACATCTACGATGGTTTGCCTGTGAAGTGTGAACGCCATCCGGCGCATACTGCGTTGTTGGCAACGCCCGCACAATTCGAGGAGGAATGTCCTGATGGTGGCTGCAAATCTCCGTGGTACGTACGCAGCCCTCTTTTTCTAATACGCTGCTCATCCCCGATATAGCTCGGAGACACTTGCTTGTGGACTGCATTTGTGCCCATCAAAGTGCCATCAGCTGTTTGATCACTCAAAGATGAAGTGTGAACGCGTCTTAGATGACAAGTGCACAAATGGCCATCGACGGACGTGGAAATGTTATGAAAACCCACCTCCAACCTGTCGTGCATGTGACGATGCCACTGCCATTGCTGAGAAGAAGAAAGAGAAGGCATTCGAAGCCCAGAAGAAGCGGGAACAGAAGCAACGTGAATACGAGGTCAAGCGGGCGGAGATTCAGGCAGAAATTGACAACAAGCGCGAATTCCAGGCAGAACTTGAACTGGAGCGGCAGCGAACGAAAGTGCTTACTCAGCTGGAAAAGGATCGTGACAATACTTCTTCACGAACGGAGGGAGTCATTTCCTCAGCTTTCGAACCCACTCCCCCTGCACTCGTCCCCAGCTCGGAACATGGCCATTCATCTTCAGGAGTTATTACTCCCGATGAGAGCCCTTTGGCCCAGAGACCTCCGTCATTGTCCGAAGAAGATGAGTGGCAACGACAAAAGGCTTTGGAAGGGGCCGATAATGCCAGTATAGACGAGATCATGAAGATGGTTGGTCTCAAAGAGGTGAAGGCCCAAATTCTTCGCATCAAGGATAAGATAGTCGTCAGTATTCGCCAAGGGACATCCATGAAAGATGAACGCTTTCATGTCGTTTTCCTGGGCAATCCAGGCACTGGTCAGTCTCTATCTATTTGACAATGTCGGCCTCTTTTCAAATGGATATTTTTGCAGGCAAAACGACGGTTGCACGCCTTTATGCGAAATTTTTGACAACGGAAGGCGTTATTTCTGGGTCTGAGTTCTTTGAGACATCTGCATCCCGCCTTGCCAGTGACGGCATACTGAGCTTCCAGAAAGCCCTCGAGTCTATCCTTAACGCAGGGGGAGGCGCAGTATTCATCGACGAGGCTTATCAGCTTGCGAGCAGCAGTTCCCAAGGCAGTTCAATTCTGAATTTTCTCCTCACTGAAATGGAGAATCACCACGATAAGCTTGTTTTCATATTTGCCGGCTACAATAGGGAGATGGAGAAGTTTTTCGAGCATAACCCGGGACTGAACAGTCGCATCCCCTATCGTTTGAGCTTTCAAGATTATTCGGATAAGGAGCTGCTGGCCATGCTGGAGCAAAGCATTGTGAAGAAATACGATGGGCGGATGAAGATCGAGGGCGGCATGCACGGCTTGTACGCTCGCATTTGTGTCCGTCGACTTGGTCGTGCACGTGGCCGTGACGGGTTTGGGAATGCCCGTGCCCTGCAGGGCATTGTCACATTCATCTCAGAGCGCCAAGCCATGCGTCTGAAAGTGGAACGAAGAGCTGGTCTCTCTCCCGACGACTTCTTGCTAACGAAGGACGACATGATTGGACCAGATCCTTCTAAGGTTCTAGAGGAGAACGTCACATGGAAAGAGCTTATGAGCCTCATCGGCCTGGATGCAGTTAAGCAAGCGGTTCGCAACCTTTTTAACCTCGTCGAAAGCAATTATCGTCGCGATTTGAAGGAGAAGGAGCCCCTTGCCATGTCCCTCAACTGCGTTTTCCTTGGAAATCCGGGCACTGGGAAGACGACTGTTGCGAATCTGTATGGCCAGATTTTAGCAGACTTAGGCCTCCTTTCTCGCGGAGAAGGTCAGTCACTTCATATAATTCAACCATCAGCCTTCTCATCAATTACTTTGAACAGTCGTTTTGAAGAATCCCTCAGACTTCATTGGATCTGTTCTCGGAGAGTCAGAATCAAAGACAAAGACTATTCTTGCCTCCACAGTTGGAAAGGTTCTGGTAATTGATGAGGTAGCATCACATGCATGCCATTGTTTATTGCAGAATTCTGACGCCATTCAGGCTTATATGCTACATGGTGGTTCCGCGTCAAACTCGACATCAGATCCCTATAAGACGTCGGTTATTGATACCCTTGTGGCGGAGGTTCAAAGTGTGCCTGGTGAAGATCGCTGCGTGATAATGTGCGGTTATGAAGCCCAGATGGTGAAGATGTTTCAGGTCCGCCATCTAATTTAAACTGGCTTGACTGGAAGTTGACATGTCATGTAGGAGGTGAATCCAGGACTATCGCGACGGTTCCAAATCGAAAAGCCATTCCGTTTTGAAGACTTCACCGATTCTCAACTTCTGGAGATCCTCAACTCGAAGCTGAAGCGACAAGACCTTGACGCGACACCTGAGGCAAAAGCAGTTGCCATTGGGCTCCTGAACCGTGCACGAAATCGACCTAACTTTGGTAACGCTGGAGAGGTCGACAATTTGCTCTCCAAAGCCAAAGAGCGTGCACAGCCGCGAGGATTGACCGATGACGTGATCTTCCAGCCGGAAGACTTCGACCCAGATTTTGGTCGAGTGGCCCGATCCAACGATGCCCTTGAGCAGCTCTTTGCCGGCGATGTCGGGCATGAGATGATTGTCGAGAAACTTAGGGCATATCAAAATATCGCGACTCGCATGCAAAAGAGGAGACAAGGTATAAATGAGCTTAGGCGGCTCATTCCGACCAACTTTGTCTTCAAGGGTCCACCAGGTAATTCACCTTCACCTGTCCGGAACCAGTTCCCGAATTGATCCTTCTGTAGGTACAGGCAAAACAACCACGGCTCGAAAAATGGGAATGTTCTATTACAACATGGGCTTTCTCAACACTCCTGAGGTTGTCGAGTGCTCTGCCTCTGACCTTGTTGGAGAGTACATAGGTCACACCGGACCGAAAACGGAGGGAGTCTTCAGCAGAGCTCGGGGAAAGGTCCTATTCATTGACGAGGCTTATCGGCTCGCTCATGGTCCCTTCGCAAAGGAAGCGGTGGACGAGATGGTAGACCTTTTGACGAAAGAAGAATACGTTGGTCGATTGGTTGTAGTCCTCGCTGGCTACGAGGATCAGATGAACCAGCTCCTATCAGTGAATCCCGGTCTCTCGAGTCGATTTCCAGAAGAGATTCACTTCCACAACCTCCCGCCCGTCGCATGTCTACGCATCCTCTTCCACGAGCTGAAGAAGCAAGGGGTATCCTGCCCACACTTTCCATCACCGGAATCTCAAGGCCATGAAGAATTAATTTTCCTATTCGAAGAACTGTCCCGCCTTCCAACTTGGGGCAACGCACGCGACGTGAAGGAATTAGCTAAAAGGATGGAACGACAGGCGTTCGATCGTGCGTCGGAGTCTCCGGATTTAGACCTCCACCTCTCCATCGAAGATGCCATTGCCTGCGTCACCAAGTTGGCCGAGGAACGAGTTGCCCGTGACTCAATGACCACACGAATTGACCCCGTCCCTGGCCATGGCGCAACTCTCCAGCTTTCCACCCCTTCACTGCCCCTTCCATCCCCATCCATCTCGCGGGTCAAGACCTTGCTCACTGTACCCTCTGATGAAGCTGTCTTGAAAACAGCAAGGGGAGAGGATGACGTACAGCGGGACCCGGCGTTACTGATGCTGTTTGGTTGCAGCTCCAGACAGATGATCAAAAGAACAGGGAGGTGCAGGAGAAGGCCGATGTCCTAATCCGTCAGCTAGAGAGTGAGGTGAAAAGTGCCGACGATGCACAAACAGCAGCTGAGAAAGACCACGAGGAGCTCGCGAGGAAGATCGAGACCAACGCCGACGACCAGAACGCATCTCGGCTTCTTGAGCAGCAAAGGATCGACAAGATACGTGCTGCTGCTGACGCCGAGTTAGGCCGTCGAGCCCTGGAGGCGGAGAAGGAGCGCCAGCGTAAGGCGCAGAGAGAAGAGGCGCGCATGCAACAGAAGTTGCGAGATATGGGCGTTTGTGTTGCTGGCTTCAGATGGATCAAGCAGGTGGATGGATATCGCTGTGCAGGGGGTTCGCATTGGGTCTCTTCCCAAGACCTTAGAGATTAGGTCTGTAGGTCAGAGGACAGCTGATGTGGTTTCCAACCAGCAGCTGAGATATTACTTGGGTGCTTGGAAGAAACCTACCCAAACTCTCTTGGGTTCGTGTTGGTTTCTGACCCGCAACCGAGGAGTTGCTCGTCTGCTCGGAGGAAATCAAGGGATGTGTATTGATAATTATTATTCCAGTTGGTGTGAAACACATACAACACTTCATTGAGGAGATGTTAATGACAATGCGCACCATGAATAGTGACGAATAGGAAAAAGGAAATTACGACGGTCACGAACCGTATGTTACAGTTGCTCCCATGACTACCGAACGCAACCGGACCTTAACTGTGAGGCACTACCATATTTGGTAAATTCCACCATGCGAGCAAATCAAGCTGCCGCCTCTCTCTCAACTAGCTATGGGTCGGATGCTTGACAAACAAGAAGTCCAAGTTGGGCAACGTCTCTTGGTTGTCTCCAAGCAAAAGAGCTAACGTATTGGTTATTGCAGGCCTGTAATAGGACGAGGAGAGAATGCCCGTGTGCTGCGAGAGGCGCAACGGGTGGGAGGATGCCGCAAGACAGGTTGAGACGAGAATAGCAAAAGGTCGCTGGGAACGGTCGGAATGCTCGTTATGTACGTTGTTCTGGTAGTCATCTGCGGAGACATGCTGAAATTGCATGGAATGTGAGGAGCAACACGATAACGCTCGCGCGGAACACGTCTTCGGTCTCGTGACGCCGTACATATCCGTTCCGCCATTTCCCTCCCAAGCAGCATGCGCACCTGTTCGCGCAGGCTTAACCCAAACGAGGGCAACTGGAAGAGCTTCATGGGCTTCAGGTTGGCCTACATCGGGTTCATCTTCGCCTGCTGATTGTGCTGGCACCTGCCAGAGTGCAAGGGGCGGACGGACTGCGAGCTGAACATCCTGCTCGAGGGCAATGTCCGCGCACGGCAGTTTGCAGAGACCACCGTGAAGCGCAATGCGGATGTGCATGTGCATGTGCATGTGCATGGAGAGCATACGGGGATGGTCACGACGCTCGGCAAGGACACGAATGCGACGTCTGTCTAAGCGAACTTCCCTTGACACTTGGGCAAATACGATCATGCGAACTGTATCTGTCGCTCTGGTGCTTAGTACGACCTCACCGCCGATCGGCACCGATATCCCCCGGCTCGAGCCGCAGCGCATTGGCGTTCCGACGAGGTTGTACAAGCCCGTAATGCTCCCCAACGGCGGCGGTGTCAAGAAACGCAAGACTGCGCGAGCATGCGGCGGGCCGTATCTCAAGGAAGAAGGTGGGTACGAATAGGAAGATGACGAGCTCGCTCAGATCACCTACGACGCCGTTGGGGGAGGGGCCATGGCCTTTGCCATATGGAGGTCTGCCGGACTGAGGCGAGGGAAGAAGGATCAGCACGAGCTTCCACATCCAAGGGCTGAGCACCATCTGAGCAACAGGGCGATGTACAAGGTCGCTATTGGCGTGTTGGACCTGAAGCCCCAACTCAGTGGATTGCGGAACCTCGGCTGAGTTCGAGCGCCTTCTTGCAGGTCCGTATCTACTGTTCTCAGGGGAAACGTGGAGCTGACTCTCTCTCGCAGTGCCAGATGACCAACTCGTCCTCGTACATCCTCCTCTCCGGCCCATCCAACGTATTCCTCGACGGCCCCTCCGTAGCCAAATCTACGATCCCCCACGTCTCGCCGTCCGACACGTTTCCATGCTCGGTCGGGGTGGACCCTTTCCTCCGCATTACCTACCCGGCCGTCCAACAAGTCTCTCACACAGTCGACGGGCAAATTCCTCGACCAGACGAAGCAAGACGCGACCCAGTTTACCCAGCGCATCGGCATTAAGAACATAGGGAACGATGGGCCTGACGGAATGGTCGAGTGGTCGTTACGCTACTGCCTGGTGGGGAGACGGGATTGGTGCTCGGGTGGGAGGTTCCCTGAGCGCGCTAGTCACGAGCATCCTCTGGCGATAGTTTGCAGGTCTCAAATGGTGATATCCACGATTGGTACGTTTGTGCTCATGGGGGGATATGCAATTCGCTTCCTTCATGGTATTTACACGGCAAGCGTTGTCGGCCTCCCATCTCTTTAATCCTCCCTCTTTAATCCTCCAGACTTGGACAGTGAGCGATCGTCCGAGCTCTATGACCTCTTATGGGAGGTCGATCAGTTTGGACCTGCGCATTTGGGCGGGATGTTCAGAAAGGAACAAAACGTTCATTTTCTGCCTACTTATAAACACATCGGTGTAAATATTGGCAAGTTAAAGTAAGGAATGAAAGTAACAATGCGCGTATCAGGGCCTTACTGCCACAAGTCGTGAACTACTTATTAATAATCTCCCGTGGGCGTTCCTTCTGAAATGGACACCTCGACCTCACTGTTCCCTATTGTACTCCAAGTCGTTTGCCCCCGCTACCCCAGGACCGAATGGGGACCATGTGAAATCATGGTGGTCTTGCGAGGGGGGGCTTGGGTACTGTTGCAATGGGTGTGGGGACGGGGGCCGGGGTGGCGATGGGTGTGGGAAGGGGGAGTGGGGCGGCGATGGGTGTACGGACGGGGGGTGGTGCGATGGGTGTGGGGGCGGGGACGGGGCTGGGATGACTGGTATTCCGGTGTATAGTATGGTTGCCATTGTGGCCCAAGGTATGCTCGTCCTTGTCCTCCCGCGTGGAGACCTTGTGGTACCGTGTTGCTTCCTTGTGGCCCAAGGATGGATAGGGGTCTCGCGGGTACGGGTCTCGCCATAGCTGTGTTGAACCGGCGAGAGTAGTAGGTCCCGGCAGTTGCGGGGTTGGGAGGCGGTTCTCTGCCGTACGCCTGGGAGCCACCTACGGCGTCGCCTTGATTTCCAGCGGGTAGGGGTCTCGCCATAGCTGTGTTGAACCGGCGAGAGTAGTAGGTCCCGGCAGTTGCGGGGTTGGGAGGCGGTTCCCTGCCGTACGCCTGTAAGCCACCTACGGCGTCGCCTTGATTTCCAGCACGATGCTGCCTGTGGGTAGCAGTCAAAGAAATGACCACCTCCTTTGGAAACAGAGCTGTGAACGACTACTCACAAGAAATCAGGCTCGTCCACGGTCAGATCAGAGAACGTCGGGACAGGGTGTGCAAGGACCGAAGTAGAAAAAAGAATGGCAGAAAACAGACCCCAACCAACATGCATAAGTACAGTGCTGCAGAGATGAAGACCGGGGGATAGACCAGCGTGAACGAATACGCAATGTTCGAGGATGCTCTTGAAGAGAGGGATGTGGATGTGACCAGAATAATAAGAGGATATAAAGCAAGAGTGACCAGCACAAGACAAGCTACAGAGAAGTGACCAGCAACGACGAGTTTATGAGACTAGCTATAAGACCCACTGGTGGATCCTTCCTACCTCTTTTTATACTCCTCGAAAGTTAGATGGCAGTGCGACCAACTGTTAGAGCAGTACTATAGTATCGTTCAGTGGACAAGTTTTGTACGACATGACGTTGTATGAATTGAATGACTAGCCTGCGTGTGCGTGCGCGCGTCATTCAAATGAGTGAAGGGAGACCCTGAATTAAATGTTGTCCTCGTCACGATAGGCAACGAGAGCGGTTGCTCTCCTTGTTACAGCACCGGTGCCTCACGTAGCGCTCCGTCAAGCATACCTGCTTGGCTCATCTCTTCAGCCTCCGCGCATAACCCAAAGCGCTACGGCCGATTCGCCAGTCCGTGAACGACACAAGCCCGATAAGCGGCACGATACAGTAGAAGGGGGCCGCATTACCTTCTGCGCTCAAGATTATCTGCTTCGCTTCTCAGATAATCTTGAGATTATTTGACCCTAGCCCCAGATTCTCTTCTATGTCTCCGCTCTGTAAGCGCCTAAGTTGTCGGACTCAGAGCAACTTAGATTAATATTATCCTAGTTGACTGAGGTGCCTGGTTTCCAAGACACTAGCCTTAGGCTGTGCGGCTTGCTTGTCACATGCAATTTGGATTAGGAGTCTTATAATCAGGACCCTTTCCCGATCGATCATGGCCAATGTGAACTGCCGCGCGCCACATTTTTGCTAATCGGAATAGAGGGGCGGGGGCAATGGAGTCGTTCCCTTGCAGTAGCTCTGCCCGTTTCATCTTTCTAGATATTGATACAGTCATGACAAATTTACCATTCAAAATCCCTTACTCATGCTGTACGATGTATTCTCACTTCCATTCTAAGCTCTGTAACAAGGAGAGCAACCGCTCTCGTTGCCTATCGTGACGAGGACAACATTTAATTCAGGGTCTCCCTTCACTCATTTGAATGACGCATGCATACGGCTTATAGTCATTTCATACCATGTACAAAACTTGTCCACCAAACACTAGAGGCGCAGAAGGCTGAAACCCCTCCCAGTGCTCACTCATCCCCCACCCCCGCAACACCAGAGGCGCAGGAGGGTGAGAGAGATAGGCTGCATCAAGAGAAGCAGGCGGCAGATAGCGCTGCTGCAAAGGCGCGTGCGCTGCATAAGCACGCGAGAGAGCTGCATCGAGCTACGGTTCAGATACACGGGTATGGGCCGGCGGCGGCAGAGACAAAGAAGAATCAGGAGGAGAAGCAGTTTCAGTTATATGGAGCTTTTGACTCGGAGTACTCGGGTGCTGTGGGAGCGCAGCGAGCTGCAGCTGACAGATTGGATGCCAGCTTGTCGCAGGACCGGTGTGTAGTTCCTTACCAGACTACTGCGTACGGTTATTAATAACACACCTAGCGAGGTGAAAGCCCCACCACTCCCTCCAAAAAGAAGGAATTCAACCCCAGGAGTTACCAAGACTTCCCCACCTCCGAAGAAAAGGAGGAACTCAGATCCCGGGCAGCGCAAAGACGGGAACACACATCCCCTACAATTATTCACTCCAGTCACCACTCCACGCGGATCACGTCCGGCCACACCTGCCCCACAATCGCACTCAAACGCGGGCGCCCGGCATCAAGAGTCGAACCCGGACATACTTTCCCCACAAGAACTGGCGCCAACAGTACACCCTGAGCGCGTATCAAGCCCACAAAGTCAGAATGGAAAGACACCTTCCCCATCCTTAACTCCCAGCCCACCTACCGCACCACAGCCGAAGAAATGGAACAGTATGGTCGCGGGGGCAGTGAAGCAGCTAGTTCCCAAGGTGCCTGCGCCCAAACGGAACAACACAGCCAAGTGATGATTGCGCATCCCGGTCCTGCTCAACATTCTGGCATGGTCGAAATGTTTGACCGTCAGATCAAGGCGTGTCATGGATATTAACAGCCGACTTGATGTTTCTTTCCTAATCCATGGGCTACTGATTACCGTACGCCTTCAGCCGGTTCCTTCCCATGGATATTTCCCTCTCCCTGCATCGTCTTACCTCCCACCACGCGCCCCGGTACTTAGCATACCTGTACGTTAGTCTAGGACCATTCCTCCATTATCTTGCAATTCCAGATCCAGGTCATCGCACGTCCTGAATACCTTTGGTGATTTTCTTCCGCAGAGGAAGATGCCAACGTAAACTTGGGGGTCAGGGCAGGTCAGGATTGTCACTCTGTTACCTGCGTATTAGGTGTGACGCCCAGAGATAATTAGGAGGTAATGAGAATAGGTATTGATCCGACTCAATGTCCAAAGAATGATACAAGTAGAGTAGAGTGTGTAGAGTAAGACTCCGCTCTGCAATCACCATTTGCCCTGGGGCAAGAAGATGGTTGAAGAGAGAGATGGAGACGCATGTATGCGTGATGGACCGAAGGCTATATCCGCCGGATAGATCAAACATTGTGTTAGGTACAAGGACGACCATCAGATGTAAGCCCTACCACAACCCTCGTTCGTCCCAAATCGGTCTCTGCGGTGCAAGCGACTGCGTCTGAACCAATTCCGTCAAAACATCTTGCACAACTCCATCAACCGACTCTCCCCGTTTGGCGAGCAGTACTGGACCTCCGGAAATGTCCCCCAACAGTCGGATATTCTGACCCTCAATAACCTGTTCCAGCCTTCCCGTACCCACGTCCCGCACCTCAAGATAGTCCCCCGTATGGTCGAATAGCAGCAAGTGGGGTTGGCGGAAGACGACCCGTTGGGCATGGATCTCCCATCTGACGAAGGTACCGTGCCGCGCCGGCTCGCGTCGCATGTTGACGTAACAGCCAAAATGGTCGAAAACGACCAAGAGCTCGGTTTCGCCTGAGCGGACTAGGCCGAGGGGCTTAGAGGATTCGCAGCGCTGTTTAAGCGCGGCAAGGGCTTTGTCGCCCGAAACGTGCAATAGATCCGGCACAACGAGACCGGGGGCAGCGTCAGGGCTGTATGACAAGTCAGCAGATGGATCTGGAGGATGATGAGACGGACGTACGCAGCGGGGTCATAGATCGTCATGCCCTTGTCAGTACAGACGGCAATTTTCTTCTGCAGAATAGCGAAGTCATACGCATCCTTAGCGTAGAATGGCTGCAGATGATCAGCACGCACCACAGGACGCGGGAGGAGAAAACCACACCGAACCGTAAGGAACGAAATGTTTTGATCTTCCTTTCTTGTCATCTTTGTCTTCTCTTTCGTCCTCGCTATCCTTCCTCTTGCCCTTTACGGCCTCCAAGGACCGCCGATCCCACTCTTCTCCAGTGTTCACTGGCGTCCCGGTATCGGACAGCTGCAGAGCGATGAACATCTTCTTGACGCTTCTCCTGGCAGCGTAAACCACCACCCTCCGTCCCTCCATCCCTCCGACAGCAAAGAACGATACGTGCTCGTCGCGAAGAGAGACACGTTCCGGACGGCTCGTGAGCGCTTGTCCATCCCCAGCCAGGAAACGAGCGATGTTCGTAAGGGAGTAGGAGACGAGCTGCTCGTCGTACAGAATCAGGAGATGGTCGGAGTGGGGCAGGACGGCCATGTTGGTCACGTGTGAGAGCTTGAGCGCTTTGCGGTATGCTGGGATCCGGTCAGCTAGCGTCACGCCAAGGCACAAGACGCAACGAACACTTTCCGTCTCCTCTGAATCCTACCCAGACGCTGTTCGCACATGCCACGAGTACGATCTCCTTCCCCAAGGTGAAGGAAGCGGCGCAAACAATAGGCCCAGGGAGCTTGACTTTAGGGACCTTACCCTGCAAGCGGAATGCTTTGCTGAGGGCGTTGGTAGCGAACCACTGGAGCCAGTCAGCTTCAGCTACTGGGGAAGAAGACAGGCATACACGATTCGATTCCTGCTGAACGCTCATCACTCCCAGGGCATCTACGAGGGCGTCGTGCCACTGTTGCCTCTTCTCTTCCGTCTCGGCATAGAGCGTATAGCGCCTCTGCGCCCGGTCGGCGACATGGTAGACAGTGAATGGCCAGATCTGGTCGCGCGAAGTCGAGAAGGAATCGGGGGCGTGCCAATTGAATAGTCGAGATTCGGGGGGATCGGTGAAGGATCCGAGACGTAGATACTGGAGAGGTAGGGGCTGGGTGGTGTCAGGATGAATATTAGAAAAAATAGAGAGATGCGCGTACTCGGGAAACGACGACATGCTTCCCAAGATGAGGCTCCTGCTGGGTCAATAGCACTAGGGACTGCTCAGTAGCTGTCCTTTCAGCTGGGAGCTGACTCACTATAGTTATCCAGGAGCGCGACGTGCAGATCCACCCACTGGGTGTTCTTCCGCCCCAGGTGACCTGAGTGTACGAGGGTCCGCTTCTGGTCATACAAGTCCAGATCCATGAGCTCTCCTTTCCGGAAGACCAAGGTTTCGCACAGAGTCCAGAAGCGGACTTTAGCGTCCGAGGCTGCGATGCCCGGCTGGGTGGACCGGACGAAAGAGCGCAGAACAGAGAGTATAAGCTCTGCGTCCTGAGCATCTGGGTGCGAAGGTTCGGTATGCTGGAGCATGTTTTCCAATAGGAGGGCGAGGCGGGGCAAGCGAGTCACAGGCCGGGAGAGGAAGGTGATCACATCGCGCTTCCGGATCCGGGGATCGTCTGAGAAGGCCTCGAGAAGGGAAGCATAAGCTGGGTTGATCTGGAGCTCTCGTCGGTGGCGGGCTTCGGCGAGTGGGTAGTGCTTGATGTATGTCTCGTAAGCCGAGGTGCTACGCAGGCTAGAGTCGAGGATTATATCCGCGATGGAGAGAGTGTAGGGGTGTTGAGAGCGTTGGCGCTCAAATAGACGGCTGAGGAGGACGTCGTGTTGGGCTCTTATAGCAGGCAAGTTGGAGAAGACCTCTAGAAGAAAAGGGTGGGCTTGCTGTGCGAGAATGGGGGATGAGCGAAGGGTCGCGATGTAGACATCCTCTACTGCTGCCAGGTCGGAGACATAGTCCCGCTCAGACTTAATAATCTCGAAGATGATGCTCTGTCGCTGGACCTCTTTCTTCGGGAGGGAGGATAGAGCAGCGCGGGGTACGAGATGGTGCCATTCCTCGTCGGAGGGGAGTTGAGAGGCTTGGAATCGCTGGATAGCGTCTTCCTCGAACCTAAGCAGAGTGAGCACGGGAGAGAGGGGGGAGGATAGAGAGGGGGCGCACTGTCGATGCTGAAGCAGCTCTGATGCTACGAAGGTGTCGACACTCGACTCGCTGCTCCTCTGTATGAAACTATCCGTGTCGCTACCGTTCGAGGCGCTCCAACTATGCCAGGCACTCGCAGAAGGACTGCTGTCGTCATAAGTCGAGTACCGGGGTAATGCCGCCCAGCTGTGACATGTCCGTAACTGAGGCTGAGTAGGCTGAGTAGGGATAGAAAGTGAAGAGCCGGGGGTGATTGTTCTCTCGTGTGGTCGAGCCACAGGTGTGTATATAGGTAATTCGGTTGTAGAAGGACTTTCTGGTGCTTGAGGCAGAGGACGGTCTTGTATTTGTTGTACGGTGAGGTGGGGGGGAGTATGGGAGTGAGGTCGGTCAGGTACTGGTGGTGGAATTGAGGAAAGAAACATGTTGAAAGGCAAGTGCGTCTCAATGTCCCTCTTTCAAGGGTTCAATTACGGCATATGCATCGCTCGCAGTTCCGCTCATTGTCCCGGTGGCAGTGATACACGTGACGAAGCACCGGTATGAGGTGGTGACTCACCACCCCCCGATTGGTTCATTCACCGGAGGAATTACCTCGCGAATGTCCACCATACGGGACCCACGTCAAGGACCTCTATCTGGCATGGCTTTGTTGCCCTTCCAGTTCCGTCCAAGCTATACCCCACCACAGATTGCAGAACGCTGCCTCACAATCGTGCACAAGGAGGAAGAGGAATGGAACAATGGTTGCGGTGGATTTAAAGACGACCAACTCAATCCCTTCGAATCTGTGGGCATTAAAGTGTTGAGGCCTGAAGACCTCCCTGACGACAAATTGCGCGCTGTGCAAATCGCCGACCAACCGCCTGCTGATGAGCACTTACAGGTAAAGACACGCTTCACATCGGTTGTCAAGCCGTGTGACGAGACGACTACCTCCCTTCCCGAACTGAGCGACGAAACTCTTGCTAGTGTCATTGACATGAATTGTTGCGGTATGCGGGATAGTGGCGTGCTTGTTTTCCGAGCTTGTTGGAACGGGATAGAAGTCTTCATCAAATTGGTGCGTCAATGTTCTGACCGATCGCTCACCGCTCACTTGTCTATATATAGTATCCTTTGCCGGAAGCAATGTTGCAGTTCGAGTCCGAGAAGACTGCCTACACCGCTTTCCGAAACGCGTACGAAAAGGCGCCCAAGTGTCTACCCATATGTTACGGTTGGCGCAGAAATCCCTCGCCTCTCTTTCCCGACGTCGATCCCCAGGCAGAAAGTGTCATTATCATGCTGGAGTACCTTAGGGGTGAACCTGTGACGAGCGAGTCCATCAAAGAACCCATTGTCTTCGACGCATTGGAAGCATTGGCCGCGGTACACCTCGCGGGGGTGATACACATGGACGTCAAGCCCGAACATTTCCTCATTGTGAGAGATGTCGGCAACCGCAGCAGCAGCGACGACCCAGCGCACAGCGACGAGCAACTAGGGTACAAAGTGGTGATTATTGACTTCGATTGTTCCGATCTGCCCCTCGGTATTCCCTGGGCTTGGGGTGGGAGATGGCGGAGGCATGGTACATGTTTCTCGATCTGCGTTCCGGTATGTGCCAACTCCCACTGAAGTTTCCCACGCTGATTTAATTGGCACAGGGTTATGAGAGGGTAAGAGAGTTGAGGGATTGTAGGACTCCGTCGGCTGCATTGTATCATGGCAGATATAAGCAGCGCAGCAATAACATACTTCTTGCCCTGACGCAGGTCTTACTCCTGGTCGCTCAGAATTGCAGTCAGCCGCTACCAGCTGATGCTAACCGCCGCCCTTTGTATCGAGCTCGCCGCGGGCGACAAGAGGGCAACCGGGTCCTCCGCTCTGCCAAATGAGCGCCGAACCTCCACCAACTCACCAGGCTCGACCGGCCGTTTCAGTAATCCGAACGCTGCGGACGACCAATGGGTACCAACGCCTTTGTCCCATCGCCCGAAATTACATTGATAGAGGTCGCGCACCGGCTGATGTTGGAGGGTGTGATGAGGTATCGGTAGTGCGTGGTGGTGTTCGATCGGGAGGTGAAGCAACGCAGCCACCCTCAACGGGATTGCTGCTCGTTACTGCCCTCACACAGTGATCCCTCATTTGAAGTCAAGCCAGCATTCAAATCCTGTTTCAACATCTCGACTTACTTGGACTATCTTTCAATTACTACCTATGTTACAGTGTGAACTATTTGAACTATCTTCCCTCTACTCCTGACACCTCAAGGGAGGTGTAGAGTGAAGAATGACCAGGGAAACTGGTAGTACCATGAGAAGAGCTTATCTAATAAGCTGATCAATAGTCAAGAAAATAATTAATCACTAAGACCTGAAATGGGAATGATGGGACTTGTGAGATCCAAGGGTCAAACACACCAAAAGCAAGCTGTCCGCTTCCTGCCAAGCAGACGGTATGTGCACTCTTCCTCCTCCTGGTGCTCACAGACAATGAAATAATGAAATCAGCATACTACAGTACAACACAGATTGCCGCTCATCCGCCATACGCCGATTTCAACCAATCGTGCATCTGTAGCTCCCTGGCCGACGCCCGTTCCGTGGGATCAAGCTGGAGACATTTGGCAATGAAGGCGGCTGCCTGAACGGCTTCTTTTTTGGACAATTTATACCTCACCAAAATGACCTTGATGGGATCCGGCCGGAACTCTGATATGTGCAGAAATCGTCCTGCAGAGCCAGCCTTTAGCGTGATACCCTTGGTATACGACGGACAAGGCGCACCCTCAGCGTCAAAGAACTTGTCCCGGGCCGCGGAGTTGTCGAGCAACGAGCCGAAGTCGGTTCCTGTGTACTCCAACATTTGCGCAAGATGCTCTTCTTCGTCAGGCTCCCCGGTACTCTCCAGCTTTGGATTGAACAACCAGTGACCCGTCAGGAGTTCGAATGTCTGTTTTTTCAGGGTCAGATCATTAGCCGAACTCGTGCAACGTCAACCTACCATACATCCTAACATCCAAATGTCGACCTTGGTTGAAAGACCGGCCTTGAGAAGAATTTCCGGGGCACGTAACGCGTACGGACTGACGTCTTGATCACGGGCTTCCCCGACCCGGAACGCTGGAAACAGTGTTAGTGGTTACGTTTTGCGGCACACAACTTGCCATGTACCAGTGCTGAAGTCCGTCAGAACAACATTGATGAAACAAGCCCATGACGGGTCCGAATTCCAGGCAAATGGAGGTACAATAGGCTGGGATGGGAACGTGCGTACGTACGTCCGCCTATGTTGACTTCGTCTATGGACCCATTCTGGGTTTCAATATCAGTCGTGTCGAGGATGGGTGTTGCAAACAGAACATTACGCCCATGGAGATCTACTAAGCATTAGTCACTTTCACCCTCGCCTAGGGTAGAAAAACGGAACCGGAATGAATTATTCCAAGCGAATCGAGGCACACCAGGGCTTCCACAATCTGGACCACGAAAAGCTTCACAATGTGTACCGGTAGACGTTTTTCGGGAGCGGACAAGCGAAATGCAGTAAGGTCGAGACCGAGTACATCTAGAACCAGGCATTGATGTTTGCCGTGTGGCCCTTGCTCTTCAAAATTGTCCCAAAGAAGAGGCAACCGATCCCTTTCATCTTGAAGGCCGCGGATTTGGACGAGGATGGGCGACTCTTCGGAGTTGTGCGTCGCGGAGACCGTGCATATCTTGATTGCCACGTAGCGAGGACTGTTGACATGGGTATGGGCTTCAATCTGCAAAAAAAAAAAATTGAACGAAGGCGAATGAACACGCACCTGTCGGCATTGCGCTTTTTATCCTCTGCAAGCCAGGTGGTGGACATCGAACCGTGACCCAGTTTGCGGAGTACTTTGTATCGACCGCGGTTCAACAGCCCCCCAGGCAGGGCGGGGAAGTAGCCAGAGCTTTGGTCAGCCGTAAGTTGGAGATCCTCGCAGTCGGTGCGGCTCATACGGGGCAATTAATATTGTAGCTGGTCACAAAATCGAGAGTTTTGAAGAAACTGACGAGTTGGTGGTGCAAGTCGGACATTGACTAGGCTGCATGCTCCCTTGCTTGTACTTAGCCCTGGTTGTTTCCCTCTGTCTACGACGACCATCCCTGGCGCTCACTCGTATTAGAACAACAATTGTTCATTGAAGATGCTCCTATTATGTACTATTTTGCTGCTCACTGCTCTGTGCGGAAATGCCATACAGCCTTTTACACCCCTGCAAGTTCACAGGGCACACATGGCCCGACTCCGACTCGACTCGACCAGCGTCACATCGTTCAACATCCCAACACAACCCCAGCACCCTCTCTTCTCTCTTGACGAAGACACCGACAAACCATTCTTTCCCCCTCATACTTTTCTGCAGCCTCTCGATCACTTCTCCTCACAATCTCCCCAGTGGGCGCAAAGGTACTGGCTGAATGCGCGCTATTACACTCCCGGAGGTCCTGTCTTTCTGTTCGATACTGGCGAAGGACCGGGGGAGGACAGGTTCGGGGTGCTGGATACAGGCATCGTCGCCATTCTGGCGAGGGAGACGGGTGGAATGGCCGTCGTGCTAGAGCATCGGTATTATGGTGCGTGGTCATCCAACCCTTCTCCGACGTTTCGTCAACGCTGACACGCGCACAACAGGTCAATCGATGCCTGTCTCGAACCTATCTACCGACTCTCTCCGTTTCTTGAACAACGCTCAAGCGGCGGCAGACAGCGCCAACTTCATGCGTTCTGTCCACTTCCCCGGGGTAGACGAGGACGTCAGTGCGCTCAATCGACCCTGGATATACTACGGAGTAAGCCTTGCATCACTCACGCGACATGCGCGGCCGCAGAGCTCGGCTGGACTGACATGTTCGCTTTGGGAGAATAGGGCTCGTATGGCGGGGCTAGAGCGGCGCATATGCGAGTCCTTTACCCAGAGCTTGTCTGGGGGGCGATCGCTTCGAGCGGTGGGCAATACCTATGAACTCGCCCAATAGACTGACAGGCCCATGATAGCCGTGACCAATGCTGAGATCAACAATTACGAGGTGGGCATTCGACCTTACCTTTGGAGCTTATGCCCCACGCTCATTCCTCGCTAGTATTTTGAAAGTATGCATGGAAGAGCTGCCCCTCTCGCATGTACTCACGCTTCCCAGTCATTGCAGACTACGCCTCCCCACATTGCATCAGCGCACTCCGAGCCTCCATTTCCCTCATAGACACCCATCTGTCTTCGCCTTTCCTCGCTCCGTTTATGAAGTCTCTCTTCTCACTATCCCCTCTCTCCAATTCAGACTTTGCTGCGATTCTCTCCGCCCCCCTCGGGGCGTGGCAGGGGAAGAACTGGGATGAGCGGGAGGCACACAGGCCAGGGGAGTGGGAAGAGTTCTGTAAGTGCTTGACCAGGGGAGTCGGTAACGGCATGGGCAAGGTGGCCGCCTGGATGGCAACTAGGAACTATGCGCAGTACATCAAGGACACGGTCGTATCGGAATGTCCGGAGGGGATGACTGTCGCGGACGTGAGTGGGCAGCCTGAACTATAGATGGTACTAATTGGCTGCTATCTTAGTGCTTCGGATCGGACGATCCAACCAAGTTTCAGAACACCTCCATCACAGAGTCTTGGAGATCGTGGGCATTCCAAGTAAGTACACCCTACTAATTGTTGTACTGCCGACTAAGGATACACAGGTGTGCACCGAGTGGGGATATTTCTTCGCCGCCCCGCCCTACCCGTCCATCGTGTCCCAGCATCTACAAATAGATGCAAATGCGAAGCATTGTCAGGCGGTGCGTCCCGCCATTCCACTTCCCTGTATCGATACCGTACTGAGCGTGCGCGGTATCTCTCCCCGATCCCACAGGCATTCCCTAATGGAGAACACTACATCATCCCCGCGTGGCCTAATGTAAGCATAGTGAATGAGTTGGGGAGTTACGGCATCGCCGCGGAGCGGTTGGCGCTTATCGATGGTGAATGTATGTGATGCATCTGCACAGCGCTGAATGTAGTTGCTCTCGATTGTGCTAATAGTATATGTAGGGGATCCATGGCGCCCAAGGACGCCGCACAGTATCCACGCGCCGGTGCGGAATGATACGATTTCGGAGCCGTTCATGCAGATTCCGGGTGCGTCCTCATTTATGTTATTCCCATGATGCGTTCTCTGATACAACGGCAGCCGGCGTGCATCACTACGATGAGAACGGTCTGGCCGATCCGAGAAAGGAGCCGTTGTATATCCAAAAGGTACATCATGAGGAGATCGGATTTGTCAAAGCCTGGCTGGCGCAGTGGCGCGTTCTGCATGGGAGACTGGTAACAGAAGTCATGTAACCTGACGTGTTCATGGAAGACGCAGGCTCCATAGGCATAATCAGAGGGATTATCCTTGTATGTGAATGCTTGCCGGGGAGCACCCTATTGACCGCCCCGAGAGAGGTGTTACAAAAAACACTTTCTTTCACATGTACCCCAGAGACGATGGCGTTCTCCATGAGAAAATGAAACAGTTTCGAATAACAAATATCGGAGAAATATTGGTTGACCACTGGGGTATTTCAGGAATTTAATCCCTCAGGCGTCGCTCCTGTTCCCACTCGGCAAGACGTGACGTGGCGTTTCTTCGGTGCTAGCAACAGTGCTCTATTGAACAATACAACTCAATGTCTTCTACACTAAACGTCGGTTGTATGATGTCCTATAAGAATTCCCAGCAATGTTCGCATTGTGGCATCCGCGGACCGTCAAATCTACTGAACGAGCCATCGACCTACGACCTTCAGGTATTCCTCCTGCTCCTCTACCATGGCAGTGTGACTGCTGTTAGAAAATTGTACCCACTGAGAACCTGCAATCTTATCCGCAAGACGTTTGGTGATGACATCATCAGCTTCATCATACTTGCCGTTGATGATCAGGACGGGCACATTGATTTCGCTCAGGCGATCGGAGATGTCCCACGTACGTAGATTTCCATTGATGTGGATTTCGGACCGCCCTGACCTGGGAAAGTGACAGTCGCTCAACAAGTTGACTTTCATAGAATGAAATGCTCCTACATCACCGTGTACACAGTGGGATCCTCACTGACTAGACGCAGCGCCTCTAGCAGCTCCACGGGCCAGGGATCTAACCGGCATCCATACACTTTCAAGAACTTCAGTGTCGCCTCGTGGTACTCGGGTAGGTCGAGCGTGCCACTTTCTTCACAACGATCGATGATCTCTTGCACTTCGTCCGGCATTGTCCGCAGTCGCCCGATCGCACTATCCTCCCAATCGGCACACGACTGCGCCCCACTGTGAATGATTGCCTTGCGCAGCCCCGTCGGTCGGCGAGTGGCGTAGTCCGCAGCCAGCATCGCCCCCCAACTGTGGCCGAGGAGGTCATACCGTTCCAAGCTGAGTTGCTCAACCAGGTTGAAGAGCTCGTCGACCCACAGCTCGGTTTGCCAGAAATCTTTCGGCTTGTCCGGAAGGTGAACACTGTTCCCTGATCCCAGTTGGTCGTAGCATATCACGGGGATGCCGTGCGACTTTGCGAGCGATGTGATGCATAGCATGTGCCTGCCAGGAAAGCCGGGGCCGCCGTGCAACAGGATGAGCGGCGTCATCCCTTGCGGAGAGGGTATAGTACCGTAGACTTCGAAAGGGGTTGACCATTCTCGAAAGGGGACAGTTCCGATGCTGGTCGGTTTGTACTTGTCCATCTGTACGATGGCAGGAAGAGAAGGAAAGGCCACGGAGCAAACGATGTTCTTTGGCCGAAAGGGGATATATATATATGGGCTAAGACATTAATGCGGTCCAACGCAGCACCTCGACTGCGGTTCAAAGGGATGGCCGAAAGGATACGCTAAACAATCAATGTCATGCAGTATGGCCGGTGAGGATCAGGTTATGTGATTGCTGACATTCGAGTCAGGAATGCCATAATATTATGAATGTGGTCGTCAAATGCGCAGGAGGGTATGGTGGACGTTTCAAGTTTGTGGACAGCTCGTTAGGGGTCCACCATGCGGCGACGCAGTGGTTGGGCCGCACGACGGAGCACACAATATGACTACACAGACGGTGAGTGCTCCACAATGATCTTCTTGTCTCCGTGCTCATGTACTACTGTGATATTCATCATCAAAGATATCTCTTTACGAGTTGAAGCGCGTGGGCATGCCAGAGTCTCATGTGTGGTGGAGACAGTTCGAAGGCCTGCTGCGCGACAACGGGTATTTGCTGTTCAACTTTGATAATTCACACCTTCATACTATTGCAACGCCACCTATGGGAGAGGAACGCGGACTTGACCCTGTGTGCTGCAAAGTTGACGGCTTCCCAGCGAGAAGGCGATTCTCGGTCATGGTGAGCGTATTTTTGGGTCACCACGAAGAACATCTCCCTGAATCGTCTTCAGACGACACGAGGTCGTCCCGTTCAGCATATGAACAATGGGAGATGGATGTGGATAGAAGCTGTAGCGCTTCAACGCAAAGGGCATGAGCCTGAAGGCCTGCGGTTTCTTGAAATACTTCAGCACCTCAAGTTTCTGGCGAGCCCGTGCGATCCAAGGAATCACTGTCTCATAGCCGAACATTTCCTATCCTTCACTGCGCAAAACCTAGCAACGGTTACCTTTGCTGTATTCCCAGCTCTGGATTCGGGAAATCCGCTGGAATGGGCTTCAATGGCTGATATGTACGAAGCTGCGGTTCAATTGACGGAGGCGAGTTCTTTCCCAATGTGGATCAAGCGTGTACAGATATGCATTGCCTGAAGGGACTAGCGTATTTGCACGAAAAAGGCATTGCCCACCGTGTACGTCGCCCGTCTCTTTGAATGTCTGGTATCCAACTCTAACGTATCTGAAGGATCTTGGTGCAGAGAATATCCTTGCAAATCTCAACGGGGTCAGTAATGACGCATGGAATCCCAAGACACGGTTGTTTTTCATCGAGTTCGAGTTCGCTGATTGTTCCCCTGTTGTAACCGGTTTCCCATGCGAGGGATACACTAGGCCATCAGCTCCGGAAGTGGGTCGGCCCGTGTCGCACAACCCCCAAGCGGCAGACGTTTGGCAGCTGGGAAGGCTTCTGAGAGAAACGTTGGTAAGAACTGTGCTCGAAAGTAAGTTCCCAGCATGCTTACTAAGCCAGACAACCCTGCCATGCGCACCTGAGGAATATGCGGAAATGGCAGATCTTTGTGAATCGATGACTTATCCCGATCCCCGAGGGCGACCAAGTGCGCAAGACGTCCTGGACAAGATTCGAGCTCTACAGAAAAATTCTGCAGGTACGTAGTCGCTATCCGCTCAAATGATCTCTCATCGTGGATGGCTCCTCACAGATTGCCCTCGGCAAGACTCTAGAAAGAATGAACTGGTTGGTGTGTGCTACGTATCCGCAAACTACCTGGTCGTATCGCGGTCTAATACCAGAACAGCATCACCATGAACTTGGTTCTTGGTGGAAAACGCAAAATGGGCTGTTATGTACATTGTCAAGTGGTATTATTCGTTCCAGCAGACGACAATGTAGAAAGGCACGCATACCTGAATTTATTACTCTTATTTCTTTGTCAACTCTGGAGTATTTGGCATGGATGCCGTCGGCAGGCTGTGTCAGCCGTGCCCATCTGAGCATCTGAGCACCTGAGCATCAGCGAATCGTGGTCGACCGCTGTCGGATCGGCCGTCAGGACTCGTATCAATGAGCAAGGACAAAGAGGCAGAAAGGGAACACAGAAATGGTTTTGCTCACACTTGTGGGGGGACTGCACCCGCGCCGTCGTGGCAGATGCCTGAGAAGGTGAGAAGGGATTGGAAGATGGGGGATGAAAGAAGGGAAAGAAGGGAAAGAACGGCTATGTGCGATATCAATCGCCTTCGGTTAATGTTCTTGCTCAAGAATGCGGTCTTGTATCCTCTCGAGGTGCCTACAAGCCAGAAGGACTTTATTGGCTATCTGATGGAGTGTGAGGGCGCGGCGGTCGAGAAGGTGTTGGTTAGCAGGATCGTGGAGACGCAGAGGGCTGGCAGGCGAGGTCCGTGTATTGGTTGACTTTGATGAATCTCTTCTAATCCAACCTCCACGCTCCGTGGTCCCGCTCAACCCTGCCCAAGCGAGTGCAGGTAGGGACGCATGGTCAAAGGCGTACAACAACCTGTTCGAGTGGAACGTGGCGCGTATCAACCTCTCCCTCGCTCTTCACTCGAGCTACCCGCGGCTGATTTGGGTCCTGGATATTTACGGCTTCGAGATCTTCGACGACAACTCTTCTGGCAGCTCTGCATCAACTACTTCAACGAGATGCTGCAGCAGATCTTCATCAAGCTGAAGCTCGACGCCAAGCAGGAAGAGTACGTCCGCCAGCAGATCAAGTGGATGAGGATAACCTCAACTTCCTCGACAAGATCAGCAACAAGTTCCTGTACAGCACTCTACAATCTGAGCCGCGTTCAGCATAAGCCTGCAGCCCCTTCTGCACCGAACCCAAAGCCCCAAGCCTTGCCAGGACAGAGCCCTCCGCCAGCTGCTATCAAGGCTGTCATACCCGTTGCCTCTGCAGCATCCCCAGCCGGCTCAGCAGCCAGCGAACGACACTCGATCTCCCCACTGCCTCTTCTGCCGCCCCCTGCTGCACGTGCACAATCCGGGATCTATGTACACGGCATTGTTCGATTTCATTGGTTAAGAGAGAGGTGCCGCTTAAGAAGAGTGATCTAGTTCAGGATGACAGCGGTGCGCCCAATTCTGCTTCTCGGCTGCTGGATTAAGGCTTGGCTCGGTCCAAGTATCTGGAGCTTGTCTCACCCAAGGCCAAAGCAGCCCTTCGGCTAGTAGCCAAAAGGCTGCGCACCGAGTTTCCTGCCAAGTACCCCTCGTCTCCGACATACGACGACGTCCTCGATCACTACGACCTTGGAAGGCAGAACATCTTGGTATGCCCGCAGACCTATCAACTCCCCTACATCATTGATTGAGAGACGGCGGGATTCCTTCCGGTGGGAATGGAGCGGCCCTTGTAAAGGATGGGTGGGAGTTCGAACCGCCGCGTATACTTCAACTCAAGATTCCGATAATGCTTTCGTAGCTAGACTTTTCAGCCTTCGTGAAACCGTACGCAGGCTGCATTGATTCGTTCGGTCAAATCGATGTACATAGCAGGAAAATCGGAAATGATGCATCACATCCTCCGTTGTTTTCTTTGTTCAAGGGGAACTTCTGACTCTTCGTGATAGCAGGCCCCAGGGTTGGTAACCCCAAAAGAGTCATCGGAGGAACTCGCTCACCGTTTTCCTTTTGAATGGGGGCAAATAGTGGAGGAGGGAGACCAGGAACTCCTCTAACATGTAAACATCTTACCCTGCCTATCGGCACGCGGCGCGATTGATTGTGTATATTAGGGAAGCGTCAACACGGCGATACGGCGATGCAAGCCGCCACCTAGAGTTCACTCTGAAGAATGACAGTCGTCTCGAAAACACGGGGCCGGATAAAAACACCAAATATGAGATCATTTCATTGACATTGTATTCACACATCCCTACACTTTGTGGCTTGACTTTGGAGGAGGTCGATGTATCCGAGGCTTTCAAGTGTCCTGATCAACCTACTTGGTAAGGAAGAGGACCACCTGCACTTCAGCATCTAGAGCGGGACAGGGTTCTTCGTGATGATGTCCACGTATGTCTGCGTCGCCGTCTGCACATTGGTCCAATTCTCGATGATCAATGGCCTTAGGGTGGTCAAAAGATCCGGGTTATCAAGCAGGATTTGCCAGGCTTGCACGTCGTTGAGGTTCTGATTAAACGGTCAGCATTGACCAGATTTAGCTACATGAAGCAGACCTGAGTGATATCGCTCCACACGGTAGTGATGTCGCTGAGGCTGTCTGCGACCTTTACCATCAAGGGTAGGAGGCTATTGAACATTTGGGTGAGACATTGTAGGTCGGTTGGGCAAACTATACACACATTTCGAGCCTCCTTTGGGTCTCCCTAGTTGATTCGATCCGAACTTTCAGCTGGTGTAAAGACCGTGAGCGAAAGCACCTGTAGCGTTCCATGCCTGTTTACCTCTTCAATGGTCTGGAGAAGCTGATTCCGCTGTTTCAGCGCATTGATGGTTTCCATGATAAGTGCGACGCCGCCCGAAATAAGGGCACCGGACACGAGTACTAGAAGCGAGAATATCAACAGAGCAAACATCAAAACGACTGCTGGAAACATACCACCACCAGGAATGAATGCTGCGGCTGCAAAGCATGCAATTGCCCCAATACCGGCGAGCACAGCATAAAGAGTTTGCTTTTTCACTTCCTCCGATAGTTCACCAATCGTCTTTTCCCAGCTACGCTGGAGTGAGCAGACATGGTGTCTAAACCGGGCAAGACACGCACGCCGTAATATTTGACTTGCACTCCTCGATAGCCTGTTTGACAGCAAGGCAAGCGTTGTCCCATCTCTGCTTGAAGGCAAGGCTATGTGGATTGTTTAGCAGCTGAACTACAGGCAGTCGGCTGGAATTGGGGCGTACGTGGCGTTGAAAATGACTTCAGAGGCAGCTTTGTACTGATCAGTAAGGCCTTTGTTGGCTTCCAAGTACTGATCAACCGAGAGATAGCCGGGCTTGGGGTTGGTCGATGGATCAACTATCGGCAGAAGCTTGATCTGAGCTGTTGAGTAGGTCTTCAAGTTCATGGCGAGAGGAATCGTATCTTGCTGGAGCTTGAAGTATTCCTACGAACCGTGTTAAAATCGAGAATCACGGGTACCAGAAGATATATCCATTACCGTCTGGTAAGCTGTCACCATAGATTGGATGACAATCTTTTCGTCGCCCTTGTCAGGGTTCGTACACTGAAGCTGATCCAAGAAGGGCAGCTGTAGGATGGTCTAATATAGAATCAGCACAAGCACAGTCTATCAACCCGCCGTAATTAACTCACGTTAAACTCGCCGAGAATACCAGAAGCGCGGTCTGCGAGCAAGTCGAGTGTCTCCTGGGTTTGTTCTGGAGGACTGCAATAATTTTAGCTAGAACACCCATCCCGTCATTTACCCCTACCTGGCAGCCTTCTCGAGCTTCTCCTTGTCACCCTGGGGAAGATTTAACTCAGCTACCGCAGCCATGTAAGAAACAGGGAGCCTGGTCTCCGTATCCCTAGAGCATTCATATGAGACGAGATAGCGGATGGTGGTGACAAAACCCTCACGGAGAGATCAATCCAGAGGCGCTCGCCTGTGCAATGTACTTGGCCAGGGCTAGCTCGGCCTTGGAAGACGGAAGAGATTGGAGAGACGGCACATCTTTAGAGTCCACCGCACTGCGTATCTCGTTCTTCAGACTTGTTGGTTTTGAGGGGGTGCCAGTAATCGCGTTGACATATTTCTGCGCGGTCGTTGAGGCGGCACTCCAGGCACTACCAGTCTTCTCCAACTCCTCAGCCGTAAGCTTGCGGTTTACATCATCAACTTCTCCCAGATTATCCGAGACGTCTGTCCATATACCAAGCAGGGAAGTCGAGTCCGCGAGAACGTTAGTGAGCGACTTGCTCAGAGTGGTGAACATTGTTTTGATCTGCTTTAAGTTCGTCTGCAGGGTGGTGAGACCGTCAATGAGCTTCTGAAGTTTTGCTTTCTCCTCAAAGAGCTTCTTGAAAGTGGTCTTGAATGTGTCGATGCCGACCTGAAGCATGGTGGCCATCTGGATCTCGCCGTCCTCGCCGGCAGCAAGCTTGAACAATTGCTGCACACGCAATGTATCAGACAGCCTGACATAATGGGGATGGGACTTACGGAGAGGAGATCGCTGACAACTTGACCGACATTGAGATTGTCAAGATTGCTCTGCGCGGCAGCGATCTGGCTGGTCAGGTCCCCGATCTTCTTCGTCATCGCAGCGATCTGGTCATCGACGATGCGGATGTAATCGGCGAACTAGAATCCCCATTTAGCATTTGGGGGGGAAGTGGGATTAAGCCTGCACCTCCTTGAAGAAAGGCCCGCTGGCATCTGCGGTTGCTTGCGCCTGGGCGATGTACTGGTCAATGAGGTTCTTAGTGCTCGCTACGTATGCCGCGACGGTAAGGCTCTTGAGAAGCGTAGGACACGCGCGGGCATAGGTGATGATTTGCTGGGCAACAGAGACATTGTTCTGGCTGAGTTGGCCAAACTTGGAATACCCGTTGACCGTAATACTACGAAGGTCCTGGTTGACGTTCTCCGATTGGTCGGACAGGACGATGTTGTTGAGGAAAGGGAACTGCAACAGAGAGTCGAACGTATTCGTGATCGTCTTGTACGAATCCAGGGAGCGAGTGAGATCGTTAACACGCTTGGGTGCCCCAAGCGCTGAGACGATGTTCACTGGGCCAGACATGATCACTTTCAGAGGGGTGTTGCTGATTGACAGAGGCGTGAAAGATTTGACAGAGTCGGTTAATGAACTAACATGTCAATACCCCGCCCCAGCCTTTATATCCATGCTGTGCCCGTCAATGAGCCATGGTATGTGGACCAAAGGAAAGGAGTACATTAGGCAGTACTCTGATCGATTCCCAGCGTATAGCCCGCAAGACGAGTGGAAGAATTCCCTACAGCAGCAATCAATAAGCTGCAATGAAGGTGTCAGAAATTAGGATGGCTGCTAGCGTATCGTACCTGAGGTTTTGCACAGGACGAGGTCCGAGGACCGCCGGACCGTGACAGGAAATAGGTGCAGTTGTATGCGGCGTTGGAGTCAGAAGCCGGCGAGGAAAGGGCACAAGGAGTTGGTCGGTTGCGTACCACTCTTCTGGCTCGGTTGGATGCGAGCTAAAAGGGCAAGAACAGAGCTCACCCTGGATGCCCGCATGAGATACCACGTACGGACACCAGCTCCACGTAAACGACAATGGCACATGGAGCTGAATCTAAATGGAAGGATCAACCGGAATCGAAACCACTGGGCGATGCAGCCCAGATTCGGGAAAAGTCAGAACCCACTCCTGGAATTGCATCATGTGTTTGATGTAGCAAGCTGCAGAGGCTGAATTAGATTTGGCCAGCGCACGATCTTGCTGTGTCTTGTTGTGTCGTGCCGTTTGGAAGCGCCTTCTTCATGAAAGCTTCATGTGATCGTTATTGCTCCGTAAATATACCGTTGTTCTCGCCGAAAGTGATGGTGTGCGGTCATTGTAGACGAAGCAAGACTTGTTCTTCGGATAAAAGAAGGAATGACGCAGAGCAATGGACCATTTGAGCAGAATTGAAGTTTCCATGCCCGAACTAGCCTCGAGTCAGGCCCCGAACAATACACGAGGTATGTTGCAAGTAGAACTGAACGGAAGCCTGGCGACGCTAGTACAGAGCCTTGTGCCTGAGCTTGTGTGTAGTGCCTGCGGCCGTTGACGGTACGACCGGAATTGTAGAAGATGGACCGTTGAGGCTTTGGGTGCCAGAGATGGTGCTACCGTAGATAGCAACATGACCGTTGAGAAGCAGTACTCGGAATTTGATCGAGAGGCGCGTGACGATGGACCCTTCATATGTTGATGTCCGAGTGGGTCCCTCTGGCCACGGATCTCTGTGGAACGTATTACCGTAAGTGTCGCTTTTCAAGTATGGAAATATCTTAAATGAGGTTTTTGTTGTACATCTTTTCAGCAGCGGCAGAACGACGCTATGATCGTTAAGACCGCTACATGAGGATCATGATGCATATATAGTAATTTGCGCACGAGGATCTATTTGATGGTTGCATTCCAGCCGCATTAAGGGACTTGTTTCGCTCCTAATCCTATCCTCTTACTCTGTTGAGCGCAACCCAAGCTCTCTGTTCAAAATGCTCTTATATCTCTCACTTTTTATAATGCATACTCCTTCAAGCTATACTCTTGAACCTCATATCGGTTCTACTCACTACCATGTCATCTCCAACCGACTTTGACTTCTCAGCGCTAATGCCTGGCGACCTCAGCCAGCATCTCCAAGGCTCCACCGAGTCCATCAAAGCCGTCAACAAGGCCCAAGGAGATATTCTCATGCCTCTCTTCACTGGTGTATCTGGTTACCAACGTGCGTACCCACATTCATACTATCGTCACTACACATTTCACTGAACCGCGCCCCAGCGGACGTGTTCGCCGTTCGGCAGTCTATCAACTCCATTGAGGTAGCAGCCGTCCCACTGTGTCAGGATCTGGCAACATATGGTCAAGCGTTTGCACCTCTCGCTCTCAGCGTCAAGGATCGGGCAACCCTCGTCACACCCCTCAAGTCCCTCGTCTCGGGTTGGCACTCTATCGACGTGTCAGCGCTGAACGCTGCACAGTCGGTTCGTCCCCTCTCTCTGGCCACCACTCGCGCAATTCCCTAATCTATTCCCTGCAGAAAGTGAATGATCTTCTCGCGTTCGATCCGACTGTACTCAAGGACGTCCTCACCGAGTTGTCTGACTTGTCCACCCACATCCGGCAGTGGAAGGCAGGCTCCACTGACCCCTTCTTCAAGAGTACCCTATTTGACCTTGTCGCCTCGCCCCTGGCGCCGTTCGCTTCATTCACCCCGGACATGACTTCGCAGGCACAGCTCGCTGATATCCTCCACCTCAGCTTCCGCGGCATTACCAAGCCATTGGCAGACGCGTTCACCGCCCCCCTGCTGCCGCCTCACACTGAGCCCCACTTGAAGCCAGAGGACGTTGCAAGTGCCATTGAGAAGACCATCGCTACCCGCTTGAAGCAGTACTTCCGTGACCTCGAAACCGTCATTCGAGACGTCACCCCACTCGTGAGCCACCTTACGCAGGTCGAGGCGGGCGCAAAAGCTATCCCCGCCGGTATTGAGATATTTGCTGAAGGAGGTGGGACGGGCGAGAAGATTGACGCCAAGAAGGCTGCAGCGGCGTGGACGGCGGTCAGGACCGATGCCACCGCATTCGTCAAAGAGGTAACCACTTCAAGGTAAGCTGCCGATCTCTTCTTGAAATGATCCGTGTAATGTTCTTCCCGTTCACAATGTCAATGCCATTCTTTCGGCTTCTGTTACATCTGCTCCGCTGTCCAATCCGAAGCTAATTCCCCTACGTCATGCTAGGGAGCCGACCAAACATGTCTCCTTGCGCCTTCTGACGAGGGACGAAAATAAAGGAAACACAGTGCAGGATGTCCGAGATGCGCTCGCTCCACCTCCCGAGGCACCCCAGGCTATGCTCGAGCTCTTGACGTACGTAAACGACACCACGCGCTTGTTGGAAGACGCAAGCCGTCTCCCTTTCGTAAGGTCAGCTGAAGCTTCTAGCACATCATCGTTGCCTTAATATCCTGCTATTAGAGAACTCAAAGTCACTGACCCGACCAGCGAAGGCAGCAGTACCTCATTGAGCGCGATCATCCTCAAGAACAGCAAAGCCTTTGCTCATCTGAAGGATCGGACAATTGCCGTAGTCACCAACCTGTCTACGTACGGGTATTGCGAAAGGGCACGTTAAACCCCCCTCGCTGTCCTTGAGAAAGTGCACGGCTGAATGGAGTCTGGGACAGATGTTCATCCCGGCCTTCGCGACCGCTCCTGACACGGAGCTGATTAAAATATTGAAGGGGAGCTTGATTTTCCTCGGGGTGCGTCACCTTCAAACGGACTACTGTCTCATGTTTTGGGTTGAGAGAATCAACAGTCGAATCTCCCGGAACTGGATTCGATTGTAGCCAAGATTCAAAGCCTTCTGCCCGGATTGTCCAAAATAGTGACAGCGTTGAAAGATAATCTCACCCGGGTATGCACGGCCTCCACGTTTGCAGTCGAATATCACTTACAACGAACGTAGACAGCGGCTCAATTGCCCAAATATGAGATGGTCCTGAAACAGGGCGGCGATATGGGCAGAAATGACCTCGAAATCGCCATCGATTCCATCTTGCAGTCTGTATTCACTGCGCGCGCTGTCACTGCGATTCATGATGGCGCCGGCCCTCTTGGTACACTTCTCGCTCCGGAATGGAGCATAGATCCGCTGGCCACAGTCGATTCGGGAACTCAAACTACCCAGTTGTACGCGTACGCCAGCCTGACCGACTATGCTTTGTCTCAGAACTCATGTTGACTGCTTACCTTAGACTCCTGAAAAGGCTTGAAAATACACTTCGCCAGGCACAGAACACTGTGGATGTCATGCCACAGCTGCTCGTGCAGCTGCAGTCTGTCGGGGATCGCTTTGCAATACTGCGCTCCACCTGGACAAGCATCGAAGAGGGGGTCAGGACGTCGCTTGAACAGTGCGCCTCTTGGTAGGTTCCGATGTGCATTGAGCCAAACGCGCTGAAAAGGCGTGCAGGAAAAAATCGAATGTCTTGACACCCGAGCTGCTGGCGTCTGTCGCCGGTGAATGGTTGCGCTATGAAGAGAGTTTGGAAGAATATGTGACTCGTCTCACCGGATCTCTTTCACCCCGGTCTATTGCCGCATTCGCTTTAACAGTCTCCCCACCATCGAATGTTGTCTTGGAACTATCCAAGAAACGCGTGGCGCGTGTCATGTCTGTCGCTGGAGAGTTGAAGTCTGCCACATCTGAACCATATCTACCTGCCTTCGATGAGATCTTGAATGATCCTCAAATCGCACTGCTCTTCTACCCCGACTCTGATGCGAGACGGCTCTCCACGACGATGGCCTTGATGAGCGCCTCGACGGAGGAACAGCTACTGAACGCGCTTCGGGCCCCACGTGTTTCTCTCACCTGTAAACGCCAAACGCTCTCCAACACGGCGGACCAGTACCAGGCCACTGCAAGAATCATGGAGTAGGTTCTTTCATTGGCCGACAACAACGAAGTGTTAAATGCTTATATAACCCTTTTTAGTGGATTTTACCCGGAAGGGGCAGTTGACGCAAGGAAGCTGTCTGCGAATATCACTGACGTCGTCCTTCCGAAACTTGGGGACGCAATTGCGTTCTACATGGAATTCACGACACAGCAGATCAATGCCCTGTCTGGCAGCGCGACCAAGGATAGTCTCGAACATTTACAACACGAGCGAGCCGAGGAAGCCAAAAAGGGGAATGAGAAAGCCTTGGCTGCCCAGAATGATGTGCTCACGCTGAAGAACAACAGTGTACTGGCTTATAATAAGGCAAAGCTCCTCCTCTCTGGAAGGGGAGTCCGCATACTAATGCGAATATAGTTGGTCAGTAAATCTAATGAGATTCAAGCCGAAATCGATCAAAGCCGGCGAACGCTGCAAGAGAAGAAGAATGAGCTGGCCAAGTATGATTGGGTCAAGGTACGGACTGACATAGTTCATCTCCAGTTCCGTTCTGTCCACTTATGCGAATCACAGTGGTGGCCCCTCCCTCCTGGCATTGGCCTACTGATCAAAGTGCTCGTTGAAGAGATTACTCACACTGAGAGCGACATCAACAACCTTGAGCGGAATATTGGTCAGTACGAACAAGCGAAGCGACAGATGGAAGCTGTGCGCGCTACAGAAGATAGCTACGTGAACACAATTGTCAGCGTAACGACATCCTGGGCCAGTCTCACGCAGGAGACGAACGACTTGGCCGGATTACTGCAGATTATCGCCGACCTTCCCGTAACGATTGACAGCCTCATTGTGGACGCGAGAAACTCGTGGTTGACCCTGTCAGCCGAACTTCAGCAATGGTAGTCCCTCTATCAAGATATCGTGTAAAGCACGTCCTGTTTGTTAACAATTCATTCCTCTATGAACGTGTGATGGTCCTGCGCTTCTGGCAAACAAAGTTAACAAGGTGAAGATAAACTTGGAAACACGACGAGTAAGCATAATCACCACACCACATGATCATAACCCCAAGCTTGTAACACTCGCAAGCTGCAGAACAATCCCCTGTCAGCTCCAGAAACTCCTTCACGCGAAATGCCCTCAGCACGTCCCGTGGAGCGAATCTCAATTTTCTGACGCAGAAAGGCTTGTAACCGACGGCATGCCGTTATCAAGATTCATTTTGATCTCAACTGCAAGACACGTTCTTCAACCCTATTACTGTATGTACACTAAGGTGAGGTGAGGCCAGTTTGAGAGCGGCGGGCCATATCTTGCTTCTGTGGTGGTTGTCGTGGTATTGATGTCTTGCATGTTCTCGAAACTTCCGTCCGTTGCAATTTTACATGCTCTCATATATTTCCTCCGGAGACCCCAATTCGGAGGCAAAGTTGCCAGAATGGCCGTCGGGCCCCCATGGTTCGAGCCCCTGACCCGAACGCTTCTCTCGTTTCCATGGAATCTTGCAGGTTGTATCCGTACCTATCTGCGTCATTGCATATTCCTGCTGAACAACCCGATATATTGTAGGTTTGCCACATCCTTTGGCTGAATTTTGCCGAGATTCTCCGAGGGGTTCGAATCTTCCGTATCCAGGTATGGTGTGCGAAATCACTATAAGGCGCTGTTATGCACCCTGTATGCCCCTCAGCTGATAAAGGTCGCTCTCTCATCCAATATGTGCCTCGGTATCTTGCTCTCAGTGCTTAGTGTTGCCTCTCTGGTCACTGGCCAGACTGCCAGAACAATCACATTCACGAATCAGTGCACCGGTGATGTCTGGCTCCAACCTACGAGCGGAGCTGCGGGAACTTGCTCTTCCGGATGTCCTGGAGGGTCCACCTGTGCTGGTAAGTCATCAGTGCCGTTGTATTATTGAGAAAGATTGTGTTGATACATGATCCTAGGGGACGGCAACCCTAATTGCTACTGGAACAACCCCACCCCGAACACAGGGAGTTTCCGTGTCCCCAAGGGAAGCAGCAGTGTAATTACTTATCCGTATTATGCTGGTGTCAACACCGCCTGGAACGGGAACTTCGCTTTCTGCCAGGATGGTAAGCATCGGAATATTTGCACCCGCTCTTGTTGAGGGAGGATTGAACAGGTACGACATGTCAGCAAACTCTAGCAAATTGTGATGCTCACGGTTGCGGCACCACCGGTCCCTATGCCCTTGCTGAGTTCAACCTCGCTGTGACTGGCTCTGACTTCTACGATGTTTCCATCATCTCTGGTGTCGCAGTACCTGTCTCCATCACGCCCGAGGTTGTTGATTCGACGAATACGGTTTCTGGCAACCCATACACTTGTGGCAACCCTGGCAGCCCGAATCCTGATACTTCTGGTTTGGGCGTCAGCTCCTGGAACATGGCGCCCCCCTCCAGCGTCTACCAATGGGTGACCTCACCCTCGCTCACCAGCCCTCAGGTGAGGAGGTCCAAATCTACTGCAGCTCAGTACTCATCCCTGTCAGGGCTGCACAAGCAATACCAATTGCCCCTCTGGCCAGGTGTGCGGTGTAATCAACCAGAATGGCCAGCTAGAGGAAGTATGCGGCTACCTCTCGGGTTACTGGAGCGAGGGTGCCATATGTGGCAGCAGCATCCCCACTAGTCTCTTCAACTGTGCTCAGAGCGTGACGAATGGACCTTACACCACGACCATAAGCGCATTGCAAGGTTGCGGCGGCACGAGCGGTAGGTGCCTTTCAACGAAATGCAATGCAATGGCCTGAACGTGAACAAGGCTCCTGCTACAGCGGCGGGGCGGACCAGTACTGCTGCGGTTGCACAAATTGGAACACACTTCTCGGCACACAATACGTCCCTTCCTCCACCGCCCAATGTGTGAATATGAACCCAACGTGGCAAACGGACATCCTCCCCACGCTCGAATTCCTCAAAAAGGTGCTACCTCCGTTGCTCCGTATATGCTGGCTGACGAGTGCAGGGATGCCCAAACTGCTATACGTTCCCGTATGACGACTTCAGCTCGACGTTCACCTGCACTAAGAGCTACGGCAACTTCAACATCCAGAACTACACTGTCACTCTCTGCCCTAACGGTGTCTCCTGGGGTGGGGTGGGAGGTGGGACCCCTCCTCCACCTCCGACAACAACGATGACCTCCCCCAGCTCGGGCCCTACCGGGACGTGCTCAGGCGCAAACTTTGATTCCGGGACCCAGTTCGTATTTTCCCCCATGCACTGATACTGTACGTTGACAGTGGGGTAGGGTGTGCGACAATGGTCACATATGTCCTTCCGGCCAGTACTTCTGCGGCGGCGCCTGTTATGCGCCTACCTCCCAGTGCTGCAGCAATAATGCACTCTCCAGCACATCTAGTGAGTGTGCTTGCTCCGGACAAGCATATGATGCCGCCACGTATATCTGTGACGTGGGCACGCTCTGCCCTAAGGGGGATTACGCATGCGGAGGAGCATGTTATTCTACTGCTTGTGAGTCTGATTCTGAGGTGCAGTGCGTGGCTGATAATGGCAGTGTATGGATGTTGTGATGGAGCACTTACGGCGGCTGGACAGGGATGTTGAGGGGATTCTGGAGAGGAAAGGGAGTTTGGTAGTACACTTGCGGAACGTTTTTGAAGTAAAAGATCCGGTTGACTTCTTATAACGAGGGACACACGCAACAAGCTGCGTGATGCATGTGCGTCGAGAAACTGCGTTAAAAGGTGGATATTGTCAACGCTCCCCTAGCAGACGTAGAACAGTCTCGGAGGGAACGGTTATCCCGGCATGTTTGCCTCCGTCGTCCCTCCTTCACATCTTTGCAATGGATCACTGCTCCAATTATCTGAAGGCGTTGCAACAGCAGAACTCATCGGATCCTTTCGTAGGCAATAACGAAGACCAACTGTTCCCAGCCACCGACATGAGTGATCCCCCACAAGTCGACCCTCTGCCTCTCGACGGACTGCCTGCGCCCTTGAAGGTGGGTTGTTTATCAATCAAATTACCCCGGAAATTGTGGTGCTGAACTGTCCACAGCGCTCGAACGCGCCCGAGCAGTGACTGAGGTACCTCCATATATGCGGCCTCAAGCGGGGCTTGTATTCGATGAACTCGATCCCACCTGTCTCATGTCAAATTCCCCCCGACATTGGGACCACGCGTGACGATGATGTGCTCCAGCACTTGAAACACGAAAACCAGCACCAGTACTTTTGGACCTGAGAGCTAATAACTGACGCATCGTATGTTGGATTTGTCGAGGAGTAATTGCCTGTGGAGCTACGGGGATGATATTCCTCAATCGCCGTCCCCCGTGTTTTGGAAACCCCATGACGTTTGTGTTGTTTTCTTTGATTTCTCCACATCTTCTTACTTTTCCGCCGGGAGTGTGAAGCACCAGAGTACACGTACGGTCGTTGGAATTTGGGGAACGGCTCCGTTACGTGTCGCCGAGTTGTCGGATACCATCCCGTATGTGATCCATTTGCTCTCGACGTGGGTTCCTCTGTGATCTGGCATACACTGACACTGATGTGGTGGCACGTGTACGGACGCGGAGCTCTGATCATACACCAAGAGTATCGGGTACATGCAGGCGAGATCCAACGGGCAAGTCTATTATATTATCAGGACGTGTCGCCTGGCCCAAACATGATACGATTCGCCTTTCCCGATTTTCTCAAGTTTATTCTGCGGCTTCTCTCTTGTCATCCAGAGCTGAGGCCAACCGCCGCCGAAGCGTCAGCTGAGCTGCCCCGGATACCCGCATTGGTCGGTGATGAATCAGACAAGCCACTTGATGCGCCCGGCTTCGCTTGAAAATGGCTCGGTATTGATCTGCTCCAGAGCCTGTAGCAGCCTTTCGGGCATGACAGCTAATGCAGCGGTAAAATCGCACCTACTCCATGTCAATATCAATACAACCCTTCAGGCTTGCATCTCGTCTCGACCAGTACATCACGTCTCCTGACTTAAACAATACATGTAGGTACTTAATGGAGACAGTGGATTGTTAAATGAAACCCAGCTACTCCTGAGTAGCTGCCAATGCCGCTTCGCGTTTACTAATACTGATATTCAACTTGTTTCGTCTGGATCGTGTACCATGACTGATTATATGGTGTACTCAGTCATATTCATTAGCTGATCAAATGGTCGGTGGCAAGTCTTGGTACGACTAGATAACTCACAGTGGAAATATGTGCTCAACGCCGGATCACGCCATCAGAAGGTTTGTCTATCCTCGTGATGGACAAACCGGACCAGTGTGTTTGGTTGAACTGCAAGAATAGCGGGGAGAGCTAAGCACACGGAAAGGATAGTTTTCACATCATAAACTTGTAAGTGGCGGAATTCATGGCTTGTCAGAGAAGGGATCACACTGGCTTTGTCACCGAAGGGGGTACCAATTGACGACAGACCGAAACAATCATGGGCAGGACGGGGCACAGATCGGAAGGATGTCAGAATCTGAAGGACATAAATTAACCTAGATTCAAGAGTGAATGCTACACTTCAGGTATAGATTGAGCTGGTGGTAACTTTTCCATCGTCTTTTGGACAGGTGGAAGAGGGTGGACCTTTTTGATGACCCTGCACGGGTTGCCTACCGCAACACTCCATTCTGGGATACTCTTAGTCACTACACTTCCTGCACCGATTGTGCACCCCTGTCCTATCGTAACACCTGGCAGGATAGTGACGTGTCCACCGATCCAACAATCGTCCCCTATGAGAACGGACCCGGCGTACTCGATGTTCTCACGCCTCGACTGCACCTCTACCTCGTGGGTCGCGGCGAAGATGGATACATGGGGACCGAACATAACCCGATCCCCGATCGTGACTAATCCGCAGTCGAGTATCGTGAGATAGAAGCTGCAGATTCAAGAGTGAGCAGAAGTGATCGAGAAGGCAAAGCTAGCGTACTTTGCGTAAAACCTGTCCCCGAAAGAGATGTTACTACCGTAATCCACTGAGAAAGGCGGCTCGATGTATATGCCATCGCCCGCTCTGCCCAAGAGCTCGTTGAGTATCGCGGTTCGATCGGCTGTCAAGGACGCAGCTGTAGCATCATCCGGGAAGTGGGAGTTGTATTTGTTCATCAACTTGCGTGCACGGAAGCGGGCGCTGGCGAGTGTAGCATCCATAGCATCATAGCTGCCGATATCGGAGTGAGCAGTCGTACGCCGTGGGTGCTAAGAGAGCGACGCGACGACGTACAGCATGCCGCTTATCATGCGTTCATACTGGTCGCACCAAGGCACGTTCCTCAATCCTTTTGCTTGCTCAATTTGGAAGAGATCTTTCTGGGATGCAGCTGGCATGATATCTAACTTTGAGAAGAAACGTGAGGTATTCGTATTTGAGTCAAGCAAACACCCAGACGCCACCTCCTTCAGGCAGCGATAGGGTCTGCCGGAGGAGTCATTGGGCCCAGAGGGCCATTCTGGCAACTTTGCCTATCAAAGGAATTCTGCTTTATAATAGGGTAGGCACTCTGTGCAGACCTGGGACCTTTGGGTCAGTGCAGTTCAGGAGTCTGCACTAGTACTAGCACTGTGCCATCGAGATCACGTGATGTGCTTCTGCATCGAATTTCAGCCTCCCAGACCCCGTGCAGAAACGGAGGCAATGGTGAAATCGCGAAGCTCGTACTATCATCGGCTTTCCATACTTATCTCCCTCTGACACATTCCTTGTTGTACTTCTGGAAGCTTTGTATCTCACATGCCACTGTCTTGTTACTCCAAAATTAATCCAGATAAATCCTTACCGTGGGTCGATAATGACAGCGCGCTCTCGTCCGGTGCTCTCCCCCCCATTGGGCCTGCTACTTATAAGCCCTCTTCGAGTAGGCATGCCTTTGCCTGCCAGCTATTCCTAATGGCCCTCTGGTCGGTGTTCCTCTCCCTCCTAGCATGCGCACTGTGGTCACTCACGCATTCCGCTTCAGCAGCAGCCCAAGCCCCAACCTGGTGCGGGAAATTCTACGAGCCAGGATCCCTGCCCACCAACCCTGGCGGTCAGTTCCACATCCCGGCGTACTCAGAGCCTCCGCTGCTTAACTTTGGCTGTGCGCCTGTGTTGAGGCCTTACCTGGCACCTGAAAAAATGGGAAGCTTGCTTCTAGATGTAGGGTAGAGCAACTATGTCGGCACGCATGTGCATATCCCGCCTGGGGCGACGCTCCCAGTGCATGTGTGGGTGGACGACACGGTTCTAGTGGCAGGGGAGGTAGATGTTGGCCTCACCGGCATTGAAATGTCGTTCAACTTCAGCCAACTGACTCCTCGCTCTAAACCTTACACCCTCTCTTGCGTGCTTGATCTCCCTGACGGCCAGGAGGTGAAGGCAGAAAACAGGCTTACCTACCTACCGCCAAACCCATTCAATGGGTCGACGACCAAGTTCGATGCCAGGACTGGAGCGACGCTAGTGAAGAGTTTCGATACCGGGGTGTGGGAACCGATCTTTCCCTTGGGTTTCTATACCACTTTCGGAGGCTACCTGGAATACAATCTTACGATCCTGGACCATACGAAGGAGATTGGGTATGTTGGCGTTCGATTCTTATCTTGATGGGAAGTCGCCGATTATGTGACCAGATACAATATGGTTCACCCTGTGCCAACTTTTGACAACCTCACGGCTTTTAACATGGTGCTCGACAGAATGGAACAGCTTGGCCTGTGGCTAATGTACGACATGCGATGGTCAGCCCCATCCCGTAGCGAAACGGACCGGAAATAACGAAATTGCAGGACCTACATGAACCTATCCTCTGTGACGGAGCAGGTGAACAGCCTTAAGAACAGAACTAACCTCCTACTTTGGTATACTGGGGATGAGCCGGATGGTACGAGGTGCTTCAACTCCCTGAACTTTCGCCATTATACTAACTTTCGACAACTAGTGATCCTCTCAATGCTACATCGATCGCTCGCGACCTCATCTATGAGCTGGACGGCTATCACCCCGTCTCACTTGTGCTCAATTGCCAGAATTACCACTGGTCGGAATACACCTCCGGAGCGGATATTATCATGGAAGATCCTTACCCAATCGGGATCAACGCAACTTATTCCGTGAGGTGGAATACTTCCTGCACCACAGAGCTGGGGGACTGTGGCTGCGACAACTGTATTGGGAGCTATACGGATATTACCACTCGAGTTGGCGAGTTCGCCTTCCGAACGCAGATGACGGGAAGACAGAGGAATCTTACTACTTGGCACGTCCCACAAGGGTTTGGCAGCTCGGAGTGAGTTCATTTTCAGCGTGCGCAGACGAGTTCAAGAATAGTCTAGATACTGGGCTGTCACTCCCACTGGGCAAGAATGGTTGGTCCAATGCACTCTTGCTATCAATCATGGTGCACGAGGTAAATACATGTTCCATTCTGCATGTCATACAATGGTTCTGAGCACGATCGTAGCGATCGTGCCTTGGGTAGAACCCACCACGAGCAGCATCGAGAACTCGGCGAGGAAACTCTCGCAAAGTCTTCCCGTTCTCACAGCATTTCTCTTCGATCCAAAGGCCATTACAGGATCAATCCTGACCAGCTCCACAGTTGACCTCACTTACTGGAAGACAACCCATGGCACCCTCCTGATGGCTGTGAATATGGCCTATGAGCCGACGGAGGTGAATTTCCGGTTGTTTCATGATCCGCTTGCAACTTCTGTACAGCCTGTCCTAGTTAGCGGTGGGAGAGTGATGATAAGTCAAGGCAAGGTCTTTATTACTCTTGATCCAGTCGGGATTGCCGCATATATACTTCTGTAAAAGAAACGGCAATGAATACATTGAGTGACCTCTTGTTGAATTGAGTACTAGCTGACTAACCGAATTACGCAAGATGGCTTATGATCCCTTCATCAGTGTCCTCCAATAGCACTGCCAGGCCGTCTGCTCATAGCACCCATAGCTTCCATAGCACTCATAGGGACCCCGTGCTATTGTACCTGTGTGGTTTTTACAGATGGCCATAGGGATATTGAATTTGCTATCTACCCATTTTCATGTTTTACATCATACTACTACTCACACACTGCAGGATTTTACCTACTTAATACACTCGTTTTGCTGCAGCATGCCATTGCAGCACCCCCCGTTCTGCCTGTTTTGGGCACGAGAGAAAAATACCCCTAAAGGGTACCTCATTATAGGGTGTCGTGAGCTGCCGATCAACACGCTTGAGAGTCATCCATTTCAGGGCTAGTGCATTCTGTGAAGTATTACACTCCTTAGCGGGTTCCAACTCCTGTACTAGCGCAAGAGACAACTCCTACAATCGAAGGATGAGAACGCCTATGTTGGCACTTCGCGGATGCGCCCTGTGTCCGGAATGCTCGCTCTCCAGAGCGTCCCATGGTATCCCCCACTCAAGCGTGCGTTGTTCCTCCCCAAGCTCCTCTTCAAATCCAGTGCCGAGGATGCCGGCCAAGCTCGATTGCCATCGTGCGACTCCCACAGTATTGGGATCATACGCAACCAGGGACATGCGTCCCTTCACCATCTCCCAGAATGGAGGGCCCCACATTGCCTGCTCCCAATCAATCACTCCGGTGACATTGCCGGACTCGGGGTCGACCATGATGTTGTGACAAGCGAGATCGCCGTGGGTGAAGACAGGCGGGCCACAGTCACGGCGCAGCTTGCAGCCGATTTGATCCATCATCGCCTCGAGATTTTGAAACGGGCCGCACTGGCCAAATCGTATCAGGCGTTCATCCGTGATGGCCGAGCCGTCGATGGAGCAGATCACGTCCCCAAATGGTGATGGAATCTCACGAAGCTGCTGGCAAGCTGCAGAAAGTATGCGTGCAGCTGCGCTGTGATGCGTTGCAGGTCTTCGTCAGGCATTTGCTCGATGATCGACCCTAAGGTGACGCCTTTGATGCGAGTCATGATGATCCAATTGCCTGCCGAACATGAGACGCCGAGGATAGGGCGGGGGATGGGGATGGTGGACATCGACCTGGCAAGGCGCATGGCAGACATCTCTGATCGAATTTGATATGAGGCCCGGCAGGGTTTGACGAAGAGGGGTGTTTCATGCTCTATAGGCGCATCAGCAAGGCCGTCCAGAATATGACGCAGGGGTAGAGAGAGAGACGACAGCGTACTCTGCAGGAAACGTATGGCTGGTACGACGAGCCAGTGGACTGCTGCACCGCCCAGCGCCTTCCGAAGACGCATCAAGATACTGCGCGGAACGCGGCTCATAAGCTCCATTGCCAAGACCAGAAGGAGATGTGCATGATGACTGATAACGCTAAGCATAGTGAGGGGCGTAATCGTCGTGATCCTCGTAGTGACGCGTTGATGAGTAGGCCGGCCTGGGCGACCTGGGTGGTGCCCCCCGAAGGAACATTCAACACGGAAATTGTGGCAGGGAAACACTCGGTCGCACAACGCAGTCTTTTAAACTCCTTGCGTTCTGCCCACCATGCACGAGGTAAATGTCGCTTACTCCTATCAACACACATAAAGCGTGTCTCAAACGCGCTTGTGTATAGAACTTGTCGAACACTGCTGTTGCCGCAACAGGACATGTCCAGAGCTCTCCGACATCCGATCGCGCAACTATTTCAGTAAGTCAGTGTAATCCAAACCGTTTCACCATCCATCTTTGAGTGTATATCTTGATCGATTTGGCTCGTTTCGCACTCAGTCCAGTTCAGTGTAATCTAGTAGTCCACAATTTCATGTATTGCGTATTAGCAGGTGCTCGACGCGCAGCAGACAGGGGTGATGTGTCCCTGTTGTTGACAACGATGAGGACGTGCGTTCAGGGACTTGCAAGCATGCGACAACACACAACACAATGCCAGCAAACAACAACACTGGAGCGTGAGCGATGGATGGACGGGTGGATGGATGGTCGCAGGGAATGGGCAAGAGTGGGTTTAGATTAGGATGGGATTCACGGTTTACAGGTACCTAGGTGTGCAGGCTTTTTATCGTGCTCATCCATCCATCCTCTTACATGTTGTCAGGCTGCACTACTGTATGAGATGATGCTATGTCTTGCATCTATAATCTGCATCGGAATATCCCGCGATCACTGTCTCACCCGCACTGAATGTCATCGGATTGCTGTCGGACTGCTACTGCTCCTCACGGTCCGTCGCTCTCGACAGCTCGCCCATATCCTGCAACAAGTGATACTCTGGATCACATCCCCGCTCCAAACCAGTACACGGTCACCCATTATACCTTGGCCGGGTGGGAACGCAGGCGTCGTATGCAGCGCGAGCGCTATGAGCGTGCAAGGGCAGCTGTGCGGCTTTAAGCCGAAGCTGACGCTCAAGCCACCTTTGAGCGGTGGATGGCCAAGGGCCAATGGATATATGAGCAAGGGTTGAAGTGGGTGACTCGCAATTCTTCCCCTCAAATCGATCCGGCAATGCATCCTATCACTCCTGCCCCTTCGGGGTGGCATACTGCCCACCCCCACGCGGACGACATTGCCGCCAGCTCTGGGGTAGGCAATCTGTCCTCTCTGAGGCACCGCACCGAAGGCTCGACAGTGAGCAACTGCTAGTGGTGTGATACACCACCAACGGTCGCCGTTCTCACGTCTCCCGGTTCATCACCACCATAACCTACTGTGGCAAGCACCTGTCTCCGCAAGCACTGCCGTTCTGTCCTTTCTCTCAAGATCGCTTCTTTACACATGCCTTCATCTTCTTTCTATGCGACCACGCTCTCTCTATGCCCGTCCAGGAACCCCAATACCACATAACATTACAGCTCTCCCCTCCCTTCAGGAGAGCCAACAACGCCACTTCTCTCGCAATATCCTCTACATCGTTTCCCTTCTTGTCGAGGTCGATGACCTTGAGCGCAACACTTGGCCGGTGGCATTGTCCCTGGCCCGGTAGACGCAACCGAAGCCGCCTTTGCCAACGATCTTGAGTTCAGAGTAGAGGGGGGTGTCGGCTACAGCGGTCGAATGCAGCGATAGCATGGTATTTACGACGTATCGAAGGCCGGATAAGTGATAGCAGTATGTGGACTCTTTGCAGCGGCAATAAGGTCTGGCCGTGTGGTTTACTTTACATGAAATGCTATGTCAGGTTTGCACCCATTCTGGTTCTATTTGGGTCTGCTGAATTCCTTTTGTGCCTACTTGATTTCAACATTTCTGAACCGGATGCCCATTTGAACGTTGAGATCCAACTACTGTCATTTCGAATATTACCTATCCTACGTCTCGAACAACTGGGAAACTACTATTACTTCGACTCCCCCTCCAGCAGACCTACTCCTGCCGCCCCTATTGGGAGGTGCCGAGTACAAGACTATGTCTTCATATTCTCTAAGTAGCTTCAGCCTCAGGCAGCCTCGTACGATCGTCTGGCTTCCACCAAGAGAGTCTGAGACCGTTTGTACAGAGCTCACCCTTCTTCACCTCATCCCTCAAGTCCTGACTCGATACTTTAAAGTGAAACTCCAGGTAGCTCATGTCCTGGAGGCTGAATGGCACCTCATACTGTTTCGCTCCGTACGCGATGAGCTTCTTCGCTTCCATAAAGAGAGCCCTGTGGTTGGCGATGCTGATGGGGCGGGCAGTGCGCACATCGTCACCCGCCTCTTGCAGCCCAGATTCATGAGGATCTGTCACTGATTAGTTCTACTGCCGGTTCTGCAGCATGAGGCCGGTACCTCAAAGACAGCTTACCTAACCAAGGCACACAGGCCGTGTCCGCGGGCTTGCTGGCCAGCGCGTTCCAGTACAGTTCCTCACCAGGTGATGGAGCGACAAGACCGTTTATCGGATGTCCTTCCTGCTCACGGGTGAAGCGTAGCTTTATCTCCCCAGCCTCCTGCAGTTGCAGCAACGTAGAGGTTATGGAAACTGTGCCTGCAAGATTGTATGACTCTAGGCAACGCTGCTTGACATCAGTAGTCGCCGTTCTCGGTAATTGAAGGGCCTACTTGGGCAATATATAGAAATTTCTTCTTGACTCTTTCTCTTCCCGAACTGCCCTTACTGCATCCGAGAAGTGCAGCCTTTACCCATGATTGTACCTGACCAGACAATTAGATCCTTCGTACTCAGCTTGAGTCACTCTTACCTTGGCGCAGACCTCTTTAAATTTGTTGACCGGGTTTGTTTCCGACTTTTCCTCGGGGCTGACCCATGCAATCAGGTGTTTCACCTGGATCCGCCGGAACCCCAAGCTAAGGAGTATGGTAAGTTGATCGGCCAGTTGGATGGCTTCGAAGTCTTCTAGTTCTTTTGTGGAGGGCTTTATACGGCGCTTCAGAACTCTCGGCTTCTTCAACGGCAGCTCTTGCAAAACCTGCAGGATTGCTAGTGTCTGTGATTTCGTCACCTCGCCTGACACAAAGTCTTGTATTCCCAACACAAAGCTCTGTATTCTCAGAAGAAGGTCACGCGCTTCCACCCCAACTTGGACGTGATACAACCAATAGACAACAAAGTTCAATATTCTGCTTGAGCGGTTGAGCGATAGAAAAGAACTTCCAAAGACGGAGCGCACGTACGACGGAAGACCGGATGATCCCACGCGGTCGAGGAGAGTAGAAGACACATCGAAAAAGTGCGAAAACATCACTTCCGAGGTCATACACGCTTTGTATGTTGCTGCAAATGCTTCACATTCTTCTGAACAGTCTTTGCTTTTCCCGCCTGGCGTAAGCATGTGCTTTAGAACCATGTGTATCACGGGATCTTTGTCAGAGGGGACGTCATTGTGTGCATCCAGTATACCCAAATTCCTGGTGGCGTGAACATCGTCGAACCTTTCGTTTTCCAGAAATGGAACCAGGGGTGCGGTTGTTGACATGGTGATCTGACAGAAATCAAAAGGTTATCAAGTCGAGGATTGCATATCGGCACCAGAGACGTGCTCACCTGAGGCAGTGGAGAACCGAACTCTGATTCAGATTCCTTGCTTTGAATTGCAACATCAGTTTGGAGACATATGTCAGGAACCAGGACGTACTGAGAAACGGGTGCAGGACGGATATCCACTCCCGTTTGTTCTGCAATGTTGGGCGTGTCCACGTCTGTTGGTGTTGCCTGACTGTTATTGTGGGAGTTTACGACCTTTCCCCGAGCACGGCCGCGACCCCGACCTCTTCCTCCACGGAAGGAGCGCGTGTGAAGATCATCCTTGACGGTGGGGGTTATGCTCCGGCCAGCCGGAGTTGTTGAGACAGGCCTCGTAGTAGGCAGATAGGACTGATGCGCGCGGGATGAAACACCAGGAGCTGAAATTTGCCGGGGAATCTTGTGCCTGGGCTCCCAAGTGGACAGAGTATCCAGACTTGGCTTTGAGCGCATCGCGTGAGGTCCATGTCTGACAAGATCACGATAGTGAAACTGTGATTCCCGTCAATAAAGCGGTCGGATATAGTGCTGTGTGGAGGTAATATACTCACAGAAATGAAATTTTCGAAGCGAGAAAACCTGTCTCCAGTTGTATCTGCATCAACCACTTTGTAGACCTTCGCAAGATAACCATCACGGTTATGGCTGACATCTTGATCATTCCGTGAAAAGGAACACAGAATTTGGTAGCATGCCATGCCCTGTTTTGGTTCATGTGGGTCAGCTGGGTACGTATGGGGGGTAAGTCCCTACATACAAGAAGGTATGTCGAGGCTCTCTCGCTTGCTTCTTTCATCTTCCTCACAAGTACGGCAGCCTCGGGTTGGAAGGCCATTCGCCGAGTTGCAGTGCTACGCTTATCTCGGTATTTCACCATCAAATCGTTGATCCGTTGAAATTCTCTATCCAGAACAGGCATCGTTCAGTGGAAGCTGTCACCCAAATGATCATAGGTAAAACATACCGAGTAAGATGGTGAAGGAGGTCCTTTTGCTCCTCCGGTTCAAGCGGGCGAATGTTTGATTTTGGTGAAATTGCATTGCTCGTGTCCGTCCTATTATCGCGCGACTGAAGCAAATGGGCCGGGTAAAGGCCAAGGAACTGCTTGATGTAGTCCAGTCGTTCTGTAATATGGACGATTTCCTCCTACAGCTAACATATCAGCTTCGTTTGAGTTCACATGGATAGACGCTCACATCATTCTGCGGTATGCCAATAGCTGTCTCAGCGGCTCGCGAAAGATAATTCAAGATATTCTGCACAGCGGTGCGGATTGGGGACGGTAACAAAGCAAGCTGAGTTTGAGCCGTGTCATCCATGTTGGCAGACGATGGCGAAGCGTCCTGTTGGCAAACAGGCGTAGTCTGAAGCTGTATCAAAGATCACGGCTTATATGTTCTCCAACGACCAAGGAAGGAAGCATGCATTTCCGGCCAGCGGTTATATGGACTATTCCGGTCCATGATATGAAGTGAGAGATCCGAAGGCGCAAGGTGGGAGGGTATATATTTGGCTCACTCAATTTGCAAGACCACCCGGCGTCTGTTTGATGTTCTGAAGAGTAGATTGAGTTGGATGAAGAAGCCGAGACCACACAAGCTCGCGTGACAGGTATGGTAAACGGAGATAGCAAGGCGGTGCATGTGCATTGCAGTGCGAATATTACTGGTAGGTTGCTGGCAGCAGTATGGCTCCAGCGGGTTTCCGTACAGCGGCACCTGCATCTTGATCATCCGAATTTCGCTCCGTGTGTAGCGACAGGAAAATACGAGGTATTAGCTATTCGTTGTTGGAAGGACACGTCATGCAGCACCCTCGATACAAGTGAACACCGCACTTACAATATTGGAGAAACAGACGCCATAGCATCGCGTCGGGATGGCTTTGTGGCTTACCATACAGCAGAACGAGTTTGGGATCCGGCCATCGATGGACTGGCCAGCTGCCGAGAGTGACTTCCAAGCCGCGTTAGGTAAATCAGGCCTAGAAAAGCATGTACGCGACCAACAATGAGGTGCGCGTAGTGAATGTCTTCCTTGTGGGCGCTTGACCGCGGAATTGTGCCTCGAGGCTTGCGTCCTCGTGCAAGTGTCAAAGGGGTGCGAACTCAAGAAAGACGCGGTATTCAGAACTACATATCGATGAAACCCTGTCGAGGTGGAACTTTTGGTGAGTTCTGCTCTTTTCACTCACTAAACTTCCACTCACGTATATTTGCAGTTGAGAGACTGCTGACACTTATCGGTTACTGACAGGCACATATTCGATCGTCAACTCGGTACGAATCGTGATCACCTCGAAGGCGACGTGAATCGACGAAAGTAGACCGGTTGACTGCCTCTCATCTGACGAGCGGCGCTCGGGGAGCGTCCTGCTGGCGCTGACTTCTATGCTTCCTGACATTGTCGCTGTCACAGCAGACGTATCGCAGAGCACGTTCATCTCGCGGCACCGGATGGAGGAATTCCAAAAACGTACGTCTATTTAGTTGTACCTGTGCGATTGTGTCCCGACCGTAGGTGGGGTCTTGTAGTTGAACCACTCTATTCATAGCTGGGCTTCGTGCGTCGGTGCTGGCATGACACTTACGGTAGCTTCCGGGTCTGTGAGGTCAGAGGTGCGGCTAATGGAGGGGGAGGGTCGAGGAGCTGAAGGGGGAACGAACGAGTCAGGGCAGGTGCAGGTCGAAGACGCGGCGAGGGAAGATTGTGTACTAATGTTGGAGCTGGAGCCCTGGAGAAGGGCGCTGGAGCGTGTGTATTCCGGGCCTATAGTATAACGTAGGAAACATGTGTAATTTATCAATCGGCATGCGGCATTCCCCTCATAATCCCGAGATAACATATAGCGAACTTCACCTCTTATCCTCTAGTCATGTTCTACCCCTTGGTGGGTGTGGCTCTCCCGGTCCACCAGGACTTTCTGGCTCATCGGGCCCACCAGGCCCCCTCCCTCCCCTCTGGAAGTCCACCCTCGAAATACAATGCGGTTCCCTCCCCTCGTCCCCCGTCCGCACACCATCAAACGGCCACTGCGGAGGTGAGCAGATCTCGTCGTCTCCGCACACCGGGGTACACCGGAGCCATACGGCCCAGTCCAGCCAGGCCATGAGCCTTTCTACCTCGAGAAGCCAGGAGTTGAGTAGCTGCTCTTGCTGGGAGGGGAGGGTGACGGATTCAGCGCTGAAGGCCGATAACCATATAAGCCCCAGGGTGCGGCAAATCTCTCGCGCTGTTGTGTCCGTCGCCTGCTTCAGCACGTGCTCTTGGGGAGTGAAGCGGGAGACGTTCATGTGTTGTGTGAAGCTCCCCGTGCAGAGGGAGACCGTTGGCTCGAGCCATGCACGGTCGTTGGAGGCCGACTTTCCGGGAGGTACGGCAGCGCGCGACAGGTAGGGGGAGAGCATCGTCAGCACTTGGAGGCGTGCGTTCTCCACGATTTTGGTCAAGTTCTGCGTCGGGGTAACCCGATCACCCCCGTCTTTCCTTGTAGCGGTCCGCAGCAGATGCCTGAAAAACTCCAGTCTATCTGCATGTCGTTCCACAATATGCCGCATAATATTTCCCCAATCGATCCCGCTTCCTTCGGTTTCGGGACGAATGAGCACCCCCTCCAGCTCCCTCTTCCATGCCGAAGCATCTTTCTCACTGATATTCGCCAGCCTATATTGTGCCGCGTCCAACCCCCACCTCCCAGGCACGAGGCTGCCATACTTAGGGTCGTAGAACGTTGTCAGCCCCCAATATTCCAGCTTGATCCCGGTGAGAGGGGCGAAATTGTGCCAGTAACCAGCGTGTAGAGCTTCGAACGTGACTTGAGAAGGAGTACGGAGAGAGCCCTGCCACCCTACCGGAGGCTCGGGAGGGGTGGGATTGCGGTCTGGACGACCTGGGCCCCGGCGGGGTGGACCTGTCGGCTCTGGCAAGGGTGGGTTGCCCATGGTGGGAACGGACAGTCGGTGCTCGATCAGCTCTACAGAAGATGGCGTTCGCTCCCACGTGCAGGGAACAACATTGACACTGGAGATGAGCTCCATCCCATTTGTGAAGTTGCAGTACATGATCTCGCTGCAGAACTGTGAGTAAGGCTTAGGAGAAGAGCAAGAGGGACGCACAAATCGAACTCCATCCTCAGGAATCCGTCGATGCCAAACTGCTTTCCCCAGTCACACAGCTCTACTATCCTTCCAAAAGGATTCCACCTCGTACCGGTGCTCACGTTCCCATAGAGCAGTACATCCTGGGTATCCAGTGTTCCTGATCTGAGGTTGTACGCACTCGCACCATCGAAGTAGAGCAGCTTAGAGGGGGCGTGTCGCTGCGTATGTGAAGAGGTGACCTTGGTTGCCCCTGTTCGAGAACAGGAGCGAGTGCTCGGCATCGAGGGAAAGCCATTCGGGTACTGTTGGGGGCATGCTGTCCCCCCTGCCGTGGAAGAGGAGCGTTCCGGGGGTGACGACCGCGGGGACGACGTTGTGCCCTACTCTGCTGTCAGTAATTCATCTTTCTGTGATGAGAGATGAGCACCATTCCGATGATAAGTATTAGACCAGTGCTTGAGCAGATTTGCGACGGTGTCGAATATCAGATGGCCCGTCTCATCTGGGCTAGGAGGTGTGTCCCATGAGGTAGCATTCTCCTTGCTGGTCGTTTGAATGAGAGGCACTTGCACAGAGTGAACAAAGGATGCGACCGCCGTTATGACCGCAACAAGCCCAGCAAGCATCGTTCTCTATGATCTCGAGGAGAACAACACGGTCGAACGTTCGCCAGCAAGCGTATATATCACTGTCCGTCTTTATCAGAGCGCTCTCAATATTACGCCAGACGCGCAGCACATCTTATCGGTGGTATAATTAGCAATATCAAAATTGGTGGAGACGGACCTGCTGCACGTTCCCAGCCATGCTACACTTCATTCACAAGTCTGTGTCTCCATTAGTACAACAGTCTAATCTAGGCTTGAGCCCGTATTTTAGAGGGTATGAAGATGTACTCTCGCTCTCGTCCCTGCTCATCACACCTCCACCGCACCCGCAATACATCCAAACATGTTCACATCAATCCCACCATCGCTTTTCTGCTCCAACCAGGTCTCCAACCTTTCAAACATCCTCATACTTGGCTTCTCTTCTCTATTCTCTCCCTGCCTTGCCTTCTTCCCAGGCCACATACTTCTCTCTTCTATTCCCACAAAGTTCACCAGTACAGGCGCTGTACCGTTCAGCGTCATGCGGATACTCCACTGGTCGGCCATGTAGAAGCTCGCTTCTTTGATCTTGTGTAGTGCATGACCTTCGACAGGCGCGTCCGGCAAGTCCCACTCTAACACTTCTGCTTGGAAGGAGACAACCGTCCAGATCAGACCTGGGTGGTCGATGTGTAGAGTGAAAGTGCGCGTGTCGGTGTGCGGGTCGAGGACGATGTCCAGGGCGTGTACTGAAAACTCTTGCCGCCAGTGAGAGACGTATTCCTCTGGTGGAGAGAGGTCCATCGCGTACGAGGTCACAAGCTATCACACCAGTTCATTAGATTCCGAGCAACGATACAGAAAAAATACGCACATCAGATACGGGATGGAATACGTCCCACGCAAGTTTATCGCCCAGCTCTGTGGTCAGCCTTGGTACGCCTTTCACTTCCGCGAAATCGCCAGCGAGCGAATTGACAATCTCGGAGAATCCCGAGGCCGAGTTGAGGGTAGCGACATGCAGGCCGTAGTCGTGCGACGTGATCTGTGCATCTGGGTTAGCATGCACAGAGGATATTGGGTGTGCAGGACATGTATGAAAGACGAACATTCTCGATATGCACTACAAAGAACCGATTCTGATGCTGTCGATCAAACTCCCTCCATCCTGGAGCAGCAAACACGGCGGATATACCGACGGACACCCCAAGCAGAACGAGCGTGATAGTGCGCAGCGCTGGGCGGCCGAAGCGATGCGCGAAAGGGAGGACGAAGGGGGCCATGTAGAATGTGAGAAAGGAGACAATGGATGCTATAATGTGCTCTACGGGAGCGTCTCTGCCCAGTCTGCCGGTCTGCAGCGTTGGGGCTAACAATCAGCATAGAGTTAGGATATAGCAGGAAAACGCACCAAAGGAACGAAGATGTCTAGGAACTCACCGAGGGCCTCACTCCCCGCAATGAGGGGAATTACACTGCCCACCGCGTACGTCCAGTGGTTCACATCGCCAGGTTCGTGCTTGAGCACCCTCACCAGCAACTCATTGAGCGCCGTCGCCACCCAAAGAGAGAGTGCGTTTATGAAGTAGAGATAGGAGCTTCCGATACCTGCCATCTGACCAGCGAATGCTACAAAGGAGTAAAAGAGCATCAGGCTGGTCAGCGACTGGTGCTCTATCTGGGGGCGAGCAGGGGGTGGATGGACAAGTAGTTGGACGAAGACCGCACCCAACAAGGCGGGTGGGGCGTAGAGGAGGATGCAAAGCCACTCGCGGGCGAACCAGCTGAGGGGTTTACAAAGGATGGAGGCGAAGAAATAAGCCATTAGGTTCGCAGCTCCCAGTGCGCCTGCCATGCCGCCGACGATGCCTGCCCAAGCGCGAGGAACGACGGTCCAGTCCCGGGTGGTGACGAGGGCGAGCGCGAGTGCCCAGAACAACAGGGAGACGGACATGACCAGGGCGAGGTCGTATGAGTAGCTGAAGAAGATGGAGGAGAGGAGCGAGTAGTACACCGTTGCGGGGGCGGTGTATTCTGTGAGGTGGGGGAGGGGGGAGCGGGCGGAGGTAAGGTAGTTCAGTAGTGCGAGAACGTTTTCCGCCATGTGTTGCGCTGCACCAGGCTGGATGTTCTCCACTAGGTCCTGTCGGTTGTCAGCCGTCTACCTCCCGGCGTGAAGGCGGGGAGCCGACCTTGCGCGTATGATACAAATACGAATTTCCAACAATGGCCATATCCAGGCCCGTCACATTCAGATACTTTACAAACTGGCCGAAATCGGTGTCACTGATTATGATGCCCGAGTTGAAGACGTCGTTGGCGAGCACGCTGCCGTGCGGCCGGGGAACGTGGGAGTAGGCAGCGATCATCTCCTGTGATGTGGCTTGGAAGAGGAGTTCCGGCCCTGTGGTGCCCGCTGCTTCGAGGTTGATCACTGCCTGTACTGTGGGCGCTAGGGGATGTTGAGTTGAGAACAGGTGCGAGGCATCTTGCAGCGACTCTTCGGCATGGTTGAATACTGCTCACGGGTCAGTGTTGCCTCTGATGCTCGTGGGCAGGGCACCTACGGAAAATGATGCTCCACTCGCCCGACCATCCACCGTGGACCAACACCCTAATAAGCTCCAACATCACCCCCACGCAGACGGCGTCGTCTGCTGCACCGGGACTGGGGAGCGTACTGTCCAAGTGGGAGTTGACCAGCACGGCATGTGCTTTGGACTGGGTCGTGTTGGCAGAGAGGCGCAGAATGTGGTTCGTCAGCCCATGGTAAGATTTGTACACTCTATGATGGGCGAGGTCAAATCTTCGCCGCATCCGTCAGCTTGTCCTCCGGGTGCGGCGTATGAGGGAAGGAAGACTGACCGATGCTTCCCGCTCCCCTCTTGTCTCCAAATCTCGCATTCGACCCCTCCCTCACCCCGCTCCCTTCTCCGAGACGCCTCCTCTTCGCATAAGCTCTGCACCTCCTGAAGCTGCTCGCTCATCCAAACGTCCGCCAGCGCATGTTCGCGCGTTCCGACGGTGCGATAGCCGATCGATTCGGAGAGATAGCGCGCTGTATTGAGGATATGGTGTTCCGAGAGCTGGGGGGTGCCGGTGAGGGGGTGGTATTGTTCTATTATAGGCTCTGGCAGGCTGTCGCAGATAACAGGGTGAGAAATTCTGAATAAACTTTGAGGGTAGTACGCACGTGTAGTGGATATGTAGAGCGAGCCAAGGGATGCCGATTACGAGAGGGCACATTATGAGGAGGAGCTCTAGAAGCGACTTTGCTGGACGGGGATGGGGATGTGCTGGTGCCATGTCAGCCAGACCAGGGAGTTGAGGCGTACAGAGTGTGCAAGGAGGGAAGAAGAGAAGTAGAGGAGGAGGAGGAGGAGGAGGAGGACAGGGAATAACCGGCCACTGATGTTGGTCGATAATAATATTACCGCCGATACTCGGCTCCGGGTCTAACTCTCCGCACTTACGTCATTTCCCCACATTATCCCAATATAATTAATGGCATACAACAACTAGAGAGAAGTGTCCTTGCACCCAATCAACCATCACCTCCAAGTCTTCCATAATTCCCAAAATCAGAGTGTGTATCCTGCGCCCGTGTGCCATACATCGTCACATTCTAAGCGCCCACCAAAGTTAGCAACTACCAGTGCGTGCGTGCGACGGGGACGTACACCGGAGTTGAACGTCAGCTGGGGCTTGCCGCCTAGGTATGCGCTGGTCACGCATACGGCAAGGGAGTTCATGAAGTAGTCTTCAAAAAAACAAGTCTTCTCCAACGGAGGATCGATTTGTATGTTTCTAGTCTCCTACGCCAACAGTCGATGTCCGGCGCCTGCCCAGCCGCGGTAGCAGCGCTTCAGAGCTCCCACGCATCCCGCATCATCCGTTAATTCAGCTGGTCCAAGTACTCCTCATCGACAGCATGCTTGATCACGAGGAGCCCGTCGGCCTGCAGGATCTGCAAGGCGAGTACGAAGTTAGAAGCGGAGAGCTTGCCTGTCTGGAGTTCTTCTGCACGGGGGGTGATTGATCGGACGGGAGACATGTTGATCTCGAGTTGGGATGGAAGCGGTAATCCAATTCGAAGAGCTTGATCAGAAACGCTCCGATGTAATATTACTCTTCCCCTCCGGTGCCCGGCCCGACCTGCAAAGCTCGGTTCAATATCGGTAACCGTACGATTGTCCCCGTCAGACCAGCGGGTCCATTATTCACTTGTTGTCGTTTGGAGCGGCATCCGGCTTCATCGATGGCCAGTGGATTATGGTAACGATAGATATCTAGAGCTCGAGGTTCCTGGGGTTGCAGCGCGTTTGCACCGAGCACAGCCCGGCGATTGACAGTCGAGCATGACAGCACAGATGAGTTCTATCAGCAAAGGTTGGGCAAAACAGCGTTATGAACGAAAAGAATATATTAATGGTTTGTAAGGGATGGCCGAGCTGCCGAGGAACTTCCGGGCTGTGTGCTCACCTTATTGTGCAAGAGAAGGCGCAATTAATGTTCCCTTTCTTTTCATCTGCACGACACATTACATTGATATTAGCTGTACATCCTCAATATCCCCGTCATAGAATATGAACATATCTCCATTGCTTGGCTTGATTATTCTTGTAGGGATTTCACAAGCAGAGCAGCTTCCACTCTCGACTGCGAACGATACGCAGCTACCGAGATGGGACGACCCTCCAAACCCAGATGTTACCGGACACCTCATTTATGACACCGCAGTATCCCTCTTCAAGCACTGGCCTAATACCTACCACCGCAATGGTGTGCCTCTCTTGTCTTCCTCCCCGCTACGCGTCCCATGACTAGGACCTAGGGCATACCGTCGTACCTGTTACCGTCTCACCGGGCACTCTATTGTATCACGGGCGGAACGGAAACCATTCTCCCAAAACCCCCCCAGAAGGAGCCGAATGGCTCTCATTCGACCTCGAGCACGCGCTCTACTTCGCTTCTTTCCAGGGAGAACTGTACACCTACACCCCCTCCCGCCCGATAAGGCTGTTGTACTTCGACGGCTCCTCCGCTGCTCCCATCCCCACAGGTACGTTGGACAGCCAGGACGTGCTGGTATACGGTAATGTGAGCAGGGAATGGCACTGGGACCCGTTTGTGAGGATCGGGCAGCTGTGCGAGTGGGCGAAGGCGAACGAGTTGGACGGTTTCCTCCGAATGGGATTCGATTTGTACGTCCCTCTCTGTTCACAGTGTGCATGTGCTCAAGCGAGGCTGATGATATGCTAGCGAGATAATGCATTGCAACTTCTCATCTTCGCTCACCCTAATCTCCTCTATAGACGTGCTTCCCGTCGCACCGCCCGCGTCGGCAGGATGGGCAGGATCCCTCCGTTCTCCCCATGCCCTGGCTGCCGAAGCGCTCGCCGCCGGGAACTGGCACAACGTCGTCCCCCTTCCCGGGGTGAGAATAGACTATTCCAAACTGCTCAGCTTCTACGACCCGAGGTACAGAAGCCTCTTTCACCTCAGGAGAGGTCAAGATAGGGCGATGCACAGGCTGCTGAACATCTCTTCCCAAGATGTGGAGCTCTTCATGCATGACCTCACCGACGTCCTTCGCCGGCCCGCAGTCGCAGCCGGAGTAGGCAAGGTCAACTGGGAAGGGCTGATGCGCAATCTCCGCGAGCGCTATGCTGACCGCCTGCCCTATCTCCAACATCTCCTCCACGCCGCAGACGCAACCCCTCCAACCACGGAGACGCCCGAAGAAGACCGACATCAGAGTCTGAGCGCGCTGGTAGCCGACGTTCGCCAGCAGATACTGACCATGCTCGCCCCGTACATCTCGCCCTCCTCCGTAACGCTCTACCCCTCCGGTCACCTGCCCAACTCCTGGTTCTCTACCACGCACGCCCGATGCGCGGCGGCACACACTCAGCACCTTCATGCGGAGGAGCTCACGGCCCAAGAACGACTCCTCCAGCAGTCGATAGCACAAACGCACGCAGAGATCTGCCGCGTCCTCCTACTCCTCTTCCAAACTGCATACACAGCCGAGTCCTTTCCCATCGCCCACCAATTCCAGTTACTCACAACTTGGTCCTCTAAGGTCGACGAACTCCTGGAATGGCTGGATTGGGGAGAATGGCAGATTTGCCGTCCGATGTGTGGGGTGGACGAGGTTTGCGCGCTGAAACAGTGGCCGTTTGAGGTTGGCAGGAATGGGACTGACCGGTCTGGGCCGCCCAGGTGCGAAAGTAGGTTGAAGTGGAACCCACGGAACGAGCTGCAAGGCCAAGAGTTGTTTGTCCCACGATGGACGTAGTAACTAGAGGATCTCTGCCCTCAGTATATGCACTGATTGTTCGGTGTCCCATATATTGATTTGCGATGAAGTTAGAAGGCAGATTAGAGGGTCGGATCGAGCGTGTGCAGAGTGAACCTATCCGACTATTCTCATGTATGGAACATCCCGGGGTTTACCACCCACAGCACAAAACGCATAATTCACACTACCTGCAGTACATCGGAGCTACTGCTTTCTTTAAAAAATACTAGAAGAGGATCACGGCAAGACTTGTGAGAGACGATCCTCCTCAAATTAGATTTCAGCGTTAATACCAACGCGGATAATCTCCTCTTGATGGCCCCGCCACAGGACACTGTCAGGGAAAGTCTGGGCAACTTGACGGTACAGACCCTCGATCAGGAAGGCCCTGATATAACGAATCACAGGAGTGATGAACCCAGCGTTGATTTTCTTGCTGAAGACCCAGTAGTTCGGCATGCTGGGAAAAGAATCACGGGTTATCATAGGGCACTAGGAAGTATCTCTCACATGTGAGTAATGCTAGTCTCTGCGGCGGTGCGAATTTCCCGCACGACACGTTCCCCTTCCTCGTCGTCTTGAGCATAACGAGCCTCGACAGCACAGAGACCGGCAACGATTTCGTCAACTTTGACGTTGAAATCCTCCCTGAATCCGATCTGATCTGAGCAGGATGTCAGAAAACAATAATCCGGATTAATAAAACCAGTGACGTACAGGTTACACCGTAGAAGCCCTTGAGCGACCTAACTTTAGTAATCACATAACGCTCTTCATCCACAGGGAGGTGCCCAATAGGCAGAACCTTGATACTCAGGAAGACCTTGCAAGACAATGTCAGTGCTCGTTTTCCAGAGTCCAGATGAACACGCCAACAACAACACGAGGAAGAGCAGGCCACTGTTTCAGGAAGGCGTAGAAGGTGTGGGGCACACCTTTTCCGCCAGCGAGCTTATGGAAGACGGCCATGATGGGGACGCGGCTGAGTTCCCGGACATACGTCTTGTCCTCGCTGACCAAATAGAGCGCGTCGGGTTTGCCCTCACCACCATCCTTAGAGTACACGTCATCCTCGGTCGAAGGCTCCACTTCCTCAGCGTGGCTGCCCTGGATTAGCGTGGCTGTGGTAGAGGTGCAATTGACGGCCGTGCTTTTGCCCAGCTTGTCATCCTTACCACCAGCGTTACCATGGGGTAAGTGAGCAGCATTGACGATAAAGTGACGAAGATTGTGACGATTGACGCCATCGAATTGGTCCTCTAGACCCTTGGCCCAGGTCCAAAAAATCATAACAGACCACAGAACGACACCGATGGCGAGAGGAACGTAAGCGCCAAGGGGGATCTTGCGGAGGGAAGCACCCCAGAACAAACCGTCGAAGAAGCCGAAGAACAGCAAGAAGATGACACCTAGAATCCAAGGAAGGCGCTTGACCATAGGTATTTGGACGGCGATCAAAGAAGATGTGACGATCATGACAGTCGACACCGCAAATCCGTATGCGTTGGTCATATTGGTAAGGTTCTGGAATGCACCGACGAGGATAATGGTGGCGGCGCCAAGAGTCCAGTTCACAGTCGGAATATAAATTTGACCCTGAACAACATCGGAAGTGTACAACATGCGCAAACTGAACGGCACGTCAGGAGCAGAAGCTGAAAGCGACATAGAAACGTACGGGGGAAAGCTGTGGAAGTTGATAAGCTGTTGTACAAGGCTGAACATCGCAGTGATCATAGTTTGGCTGGCAATGAGGGTAGCGAAGATGGCAAAGCAGTAGGTGAACCACCAAAGGCCGCCGTTGACCGGACCGGGAATCGTGTTGTAGAATACATTTTGGATGGCATTCTCGCCATCAGTGATGAGACGAGCGCCCTGACCGAGATAAGCGAGAACCAAGCAAGGATATGTTACACTGGTAAAGGACAGTCGGATAGAGGCCCGGTTGAACTGGCCAAGGCTGCAAGCCAGAATTAGGGACGCATAATTTATGCAACTGGAAAAACCGCACTTGGCGAACATGGCCTCACAGCCTGTCACCGCAAGCAGAACGCCGGCAAGATAGTCGTAGTTACCAGTACGGACGAACCACAATACAGCGCGCGAAGGGTCATATGCACGCCAGATGCCAGGGTAATGAGTGATGTTGGAAATCCCAGAACCCCCAATCAGGACAAGCCAAATCACAGTGACTGGGATATTTATCAGCAGGGCACCAGCACAGATAAGGGGAACGAAGTACGAGGGGAGAAGATGAAAGAAATCTTGGCTGTACCGAAGCGTTGAATCAGGAAGAGGGCAGCCAAGAACGCGATGGAAATAGGAATAATGTCGTTCGAAACCGACTGCTTTGCAACAGCAATTCCACCGACAGCCGACGTCACAGACACAGCGGGTGTGAGGATACCATCAGCCATGGTCAAGGCGGTACCGAACAGAGACTGCGTACTTGTCATCTGTCTGACACCCAATAAGAGACAATCAGGCAACATACCCAGAACAGCATTGGATGTTTGAATGACCTCATGATCGGCCCGTACGAGGATGGGGAAGAGCGCACGCCGGAGTCGCCGGTCAGAGCGCGCTCCTCATCTTCGTCGTACTGCTTCTTCGGGAAAAGACCATTAAACCTGCGGGTGAACGGGTTAAGCCACGCAACACGCCGTCATGACAATGGGATCTTACAGGGCAAATGGGCCGCCCTCTCCCTCTTCAGTGCCGAACTGCAGAGAAAAGACAACCTAGAGAGTTGAAGATGTACGTGCCGTGGCACAGAAAGAATGGCAAATTACGAAGGCTCCCAATCAGACGCAAGGCGCGACACGGGAGTTTATGGAGTGGCTCACATATTTCAGTAGTCTGGTGAATACAGCGTCAAGAACGTTAATGGTTAGCAAACCTGATCATTAACGGGGAAATCAAGTTAGCGTACGGTAGCAGGGTCAAAGACCAAATGATAGCGGAAACACCGCCGATCACGTCTTCTTCCGAGGGTACATCTGAAAGCGTATGACGGGTCAGGGGATAGTTTACGAGCATACTTGACGAAGTCGAACCTCCACTGCTAGGCCAAATACCGTTGAGCACGTACAGGGGCGACGTGCCAATATCTGCGTATATAATGCCCAAAGTCTGCCAGGCGAGAGCGAGAAGCGGCAGTCCTTTCAGATGGAGCTCTTTGCGATGCTGACTACTGTATCCTTTCTCCGCGTCCATTTGTGTTATTGTACGAAGAGAGCCAGGGTGAACACTGAGAGCGAGGGGGAACAGACGAGAGAATAAGATGAGAAGCGGTGAACTGGGTGCAACTTATATGATGCAGCATCCGGTTCCTTAATTTCTGAAGATAGAGACGAGGATATCCAAACGTGAGGCTATTGGGGGAGATAAGCACCGCTTTTGCACAGGTTACAGGATGCTCCAGGACCCCGGAACATACCGATTGGAGAAGAAAGCGGACCGACAAGCCGGAGACTCAAGCGGAGATCAAAGCTTCCTTGTGTTTTGTCTTTCACGCGTGCCTCCCATTGACCGTGGCCTTGGTAGAACCAAAGGAAGTCCACCTCTCCTCGCGCGAGTCTTGAAGAGCAAGGAAAGGGATTAGTGAGCAACGGCGAGCAGTATCGTCTCCTGAAGGCTGCGAATCATTAGACAACCGAAAAGACAGCGATATTCATTCTACCTAGGGACATGACATACATACATGAGTGATACACGGCATGTCATTGAGTGAGCGCGAGGTAACGACAGGTGGGCAGGCCCCATAACGACAACAGGCCCAAGCTACATCCTCCGACGGTTGCTGCGCAACAGGCGAGTACGAGCAGCAATTTCTTGTCGACGGGTGGAGAGGACGGAATCAGTAGGAAGGCCATTTTGCTCGTTGAACAGACGCTGGTGACTGTCGTCCACTATCTTGTGCACGGCCTGTTCCAGTACATTGGCAGCAAACGTGCGTTCATCCTCGGGCAAAAGGGGCACCATGTGGTTCTGGGCGGCAAGCAGGAGCGTTTCGATCTTTGGAGCACGGAGATTTTCGATGTTCTCAGGGAAGCGGCTGATTTTACCTAATTGCAGATGAGTACAGTGCATCCACATGACACTAATGCTTACGAATGTGCACCCAAGTATCCTGGAAATCCGCAGGAACAATCAGTCTTCTTTCCTCTCCAGGTGGGACGTCTGGCACCAGAAGTCACTCCACGTTGATAGAGCAGTTAAGCATGAGGACGAGCATGCTCTCCATCGACGTGTCGTGTACATCCTCTAGCCAGAGGGACACTAGCCGATGTCAGCATATGCGACAAGTCACAGGAGAGAGGAGGGGACGCACCCTCTGGAATCACCGCGGCATGCCACCCCTTGTACTTGTCCTTGTTGCGTTCAGCGATGATCCGGGCGTATTCGCTTATGGCCGCATTGCGTGGGTTTTCGGGGTGGAGGGAAAAGACGTAGCCATGATCCTCCAGGGTGCCGAAATCATCTGACATAGATTTGGTCGTGGCGCCCTTCTCATGGTGTGACTCGAGGATTTCATTGACGAGTGTGCCCTGCGAAATGGGCTGGGAGGTAGAGAGGGAGGAGGCTTGAGACTGCATGAGTGATAGTGATGGTAAGGAAGGAAGAGATGGTTTGCCCCCGATGAGGTGGCACTCCGGGACCCATCACGTGATTGTTATTATGTGTATCAGTTGGATGTGTGCGTACCTTCTACCCCTCACAAAAAACGGTGGAGAAAGGGGAATGTAACTGCTCTCAGGTGCGGCGCAGTCCTGGTACTCACTGACGGTCGAATAGTCCGACTGTTGCAAATATCCGATAGTATCCTGACCCTTTGGTATGTTTAATCCGCGGCCATGGCAGGCACTACACAATCTCCACACCCTCGGAACTTTTGGATAGGCCGGTTGAAGTACAGTTGTTCTCGAGCAAATGTACATGTCTACCTTGGGTAGTTGCTCATATCGATAGTCGATAAAATTCCATCCTGCTTGTATTGGTACATTCCGACTTATCCATAGCTTTCCTAATCAGGCCCATCAAGTGTTGCTCCTAATCCGCTCACGTGCTTTGATCAAGCACGTTGATAGCGGTCTGCGCAACGCACAGCTCCTGCTTAACGCCTTTCAGAACGCAAGAGATGCCCTCGGCACCCATGACTACGACACTCGCGATGGCCTTGTCGATCGGGTCAGGTGCTAGGATGCCGTACGGCGAGCCTACACCCGCAAGAAGTAGGAACGTTGCGTTTGCCACGCCCATCGCAGCGATGACGTCGTTCCTCCCAGTGTAAGAAGTATTGAGTTGCATGCCGTACGAGGCTTGCGAGAGACTGAAATTGACAAGTGCTACGAAAGCGTCGAAACAAGCGAGCGCTTTGGTTGCGGATACGCCAGCCCGCTTGCATATACCCTTCATGACGACGTTGAAGATGAGCATGCTCCACCCGCTGATACTGGACACGGGAAAAGGACTTCAGAGAGCTTTCTCTTAAGTTGATAATAGATGCTGCTTACCGGAATTCCCATCCCGGCACGGCGCGGTCAGAGGGATAGGAAATACCTTTAACGACCAGGTCTTTGACTAGCCCGAAGTAGCTCAGCGGAGTCGGGGGAGCGCCTTCAGCCGGGATCGTCGAGGTGGCGATGTCCTTCACTTTCTGTGGGGTGAAGAATGGCGATGAGCGACATTGGAATGAGGGAATAAACATCACTCACCAAGATTCCCTGGATGTACTGGGCGGGGATGTCAACGTATGCAGCCAGCTCACGGAAAGAGTTCGTGGTTGTTCCATCAAGCGTCCCATCCACAAGCTTCTGGTAGTCGAAGGCGAATGACAGGGTTGGGGAGCTGCCAGTGATGATCTTCGCAAGGACCGTGGTAGGAATAGCCAAAAGAAGAGCAACGACGTCCAAAATAGAATAAGGCCCGACGCCGAAGGACTCGAGAATGCCTCCAATGACTGGAATCTGAAAATTGGCATTGAGAATGGTTCGCAAACCTCCGACAATATCCGCAGCAAGCGCTATGACGTTGGTCACCAGGTCCTTGATGAGCTGCAAGAACGAGATCGCGAATTGCTGTCAATTGTCAGTCACGTTTCCCTCTACTGCAGAGTCAGTACATACCTGTGCAAAAGCTTGTATATCGGCAACAGTTATGTCCAGCGCATTGTTGAACAAATTGACGATCTGGCTGCCAATGTTCTCCGCATCAGTGAGTAACTGGTTCAGGAGAGGTGCGATTTTCTGAGTATACAAGTTGCTGAGTGAGGCATCGGTGGCCATGGGGGTGAGGATGGATGCGTCGGATGCACCACCATGGTCCAGCTGGTAGTTGCCGTAGTTTGCAGGTGCCGAGGTCTGAGCACTCTTGTTTGCCGTCGTCGCAGACGGATCCCCTCCTAAGTTTTGGCTGGATGGTGTAGCCGACGCAGTTGGAGCGATCGTGAACGACTGGCTAATCTGAGTCTGTATATTCTCAAAGTACGTCCCCAACTGCTGGGCTTCCTTGTTGAGGTAGTTCTCGCCAAAGGTGAGGAGGCCATTCACCATCGACTTGATGGCATCTTTCGTTTGTAGAATGTCTTGCCAGTCAAAGATATATCCGAGCCACTGAACGAGGGTGTCCCAAGCCGCACCGATCTTCTGCAGGAGGAGCGAGCAAGCCTTGGCAACCTTTGCGGCGGTATCAAGAATGAAGTCCCAGACCTTGCCAGCAATCGTGACGACGAAGTGCCAGGCCGCGCCGGATGTCTCAACGACGAAGTCCTTGATCGAGTCTGCCGTCTCGCACACCCAGTTCCATCCTTCCCAAAAGATATCTGAGGCCGAGATATCGATGTCAGCAGCCAGCATGGTACCTTGGGCGCGTGCAAGCTGGATGGCCTCGATCGCCTGGTTCGACATCTCTCCGATCCACTTGCCGGCATTGTCGATATCATCCGGGCTGGCGGTGGAGCCTTGCAGGATGGGCGTCCCATCTGCAGTCTTGGCGTTACGCAGATCATCTCCAGTGGTGATCGCTTTGAGCTTAGTCTGGACCTTGTCGCTGGGATCAAATATGAAGGTCTGACCACCAAGGATGGAAGAGCCAGACGCATCCTGGACACGGAGCTCGTAGGCATCGAGATCGCTGGTGGGAAAGATGATAGTGATAGCACCATTGCTATCGGTCGTCACCTGAATCGCGTCCGTTCCAAGCAGCGATGATCCGCCATTGATGATGACTGTTAACCAACCGGCTGTGGTGCTGATATTAAATGGCTTGTTCCCTTGGGGCCAACCCTGGGAGTCGACGATGAGCACCCTGCTCGTGTAGGCGCTGAAGTCGATGACCTTGTCAAGCTGCTTCACGAGGAAAGGTGTGGTCTTCCACACGTACGTGTCTGAAGGCTGTTCCATTATTGTCAGCATTGACGTGGTGTCCATGACAACCAGGCTCTGGGAGGCAGTAGTTGGGTCGATGATCGCTGCAAAATTAGCGGTCGGACCTGAGAACTTGTTCAGGAGAGGGACGGGGGTGCCATCCAGTATGCCTGCGCTGCCCGCAATACCCTGTTGGTACGCCAAGGTGGTGCCGGACAAGAACCACGCGCTGAAGTCGGTGCCGTACTGCGAGAGATAAAGCTTGGCGCATGTCGCGTAGAGAGGATCAGATGACAACTGAGTCGCTTGACTCCCGGAATGAATGGTCTGGTCGGGCGGAATGTGCCACAGCCCTCCACCGAGAACAAGTAAGTGCGTGAGGTTGTTCGACTCTTTGTAGGTGATAATGCGTTGTGCGGCTATTGTTGATGTGCGTGTGTCAGAGATTTGGTACTTCCTACAAGAATGGGGGTGGGCCTCACCTTGTGGTACCTGGAGGTCGAACTTGTAATGGCGTGCGCCGGCCTCAGTTGTCTGGAACATGAGATTGGTGACGCCTGCGTTGACGTACAGGCAGTAAATCCCAACGCCAAGGGCACAGTTACCGGGGCACAAATCGAGCATTCCGCCCGTGGCTTCCTCGGGCATGCCAAGCTGCCCGTCCCATGCCCAAGACGTGCTGCCGGAGACTAGCACACGTGCAATATCCGCATTGCCCGCCGCGTCTGTAAAGGCGGCGATCGCGAGCGGGTACGTGCCACTGGTGATCACGTCGCCCTGTGGAGGAAGGCGAACGACTTAGGTCAGAGGGAATGGGGAAAACATGGAAGGCAGACTTACCAGCAGGATCCGAGTCACTTTCTCAGTACTAGACTGTGCCTGGGTGCAGGGGAGCGGCTTCAACAGGGTGGATGCATTTGCTGCCACCAAGTCGTCCGGCTTGAAGGGCGGTAGCACGTATACGAGCGCTGCGGTAGCCACGACTAAGTACACCGCCTTGGTTTTGACATCCTGAGAAACCCCAAAGTGGGCTACTGCATTCGTGGCACCAATGAGAGAGGAGACGTTGATGTTGATGTGCTCGTTCTCGGAGGTGGGATCGGCCTTGAGCGCGTACAAGCAGCTGTCCGTACCCACTGACAACGTGAGGGGTCGGTCCTGAGCATCCCTGATACAAGAAAAGGGCGCCCCACTGAGGACTTGGAACGGCTGCGCCGCTACTTGGTGGTACATGAGCTCCGAATCGACGGTGGCGGTCGCCATGGTTGATCGCTGCTGGGTGTTGCTGGATATTTGTTGATGAGGGGACTGCTATGCGGTCCTGGATGGGCCAGTAGTACCAGTTGATCGGGAGAGAAATGATCCTTTTAATAAGCTGAGGGGGCCCTAAAACATGGCATTAATTAGGCTCTCACGAGTATTGAACTTGAACAGAACAGATCCTGCTGCGGCTGCACCCCGCAAGCCATTCCCCAGGGGAAGCAGGACAAGAATATCATAGGGGCGCTCACATGAATACACCGGGGTCAGTGAGGCATTGTCCAACTTGAAGGAGGTGAATCTGCGACGCAAGCGGGGGAAGGGCTTGGCCTCGACAACCGACATGGACGCTAACCATTCGACGGTGAATTACGCCCAACGGACTAGTAGCCATTCGATCACTGGTACCTACACACAGGAATCAGATGCCTGAGCAGTGTTATCTAACCATCCCGCAAGACTCACATGTCGTGTCGCTTGCCACGCATGGAGTTCCCTGCATCTGAAAAGTGGCGGACACTGCACGACGATTCGCCGCAGGGCAATAGACCCATCGGTTGGGTTCATCTGATGAAGAAGGAAAGAAACCGCTTATTCAGCATCTCTTGCGGAATGCGAGTATGGTTGGCTATGGATAGGGAAGAGATGAGGACATCAAAGCGGGAATTGTCAGGCACGTACGTGTTCCTGACGAAAACACGGAGGCATCGACAATTAAGCGCCCATCCCTGCTTCTCTTGCGGCCGTTGCGCTCCCCAAGTGGCCCGATTCTCGATATTACCCAAAATCCTCATCGGCACCGCTCAGTTCAGGCGGTCGATGCAAGCGCAATTCCGGACGGTGACCGTTACAGGCGATTCCAGCGTGGAACGTCGCTTGATGAAAATCGATAATACAGTACGACGCATCGTCGCGCTTGAGGACGCTTCGTTCGGCTACATCGTTGTGTTCGATGCCGAATCGATGGATTGTCCGTAGGACTTTCCAGACAGCAGGACCATCTCGTATTCAGTATGACGTTCGGTGAATACAGAAATGAACAGACTTACTTCTGGAGATCATGCTTGCTGACCGGTTGTCCCTCATAGGACAGTAAAAGCAGAAGACGATGTCGGCTTTTGAAAAGGCCATAGAATGATGGTACGGCTCGTCCCCACTGCTCCTGGAGGGCCAGATAGACCTCAGCTTCCTTCTCCAACGACGTTGCGTCCTCCTCGTCTCCTATGGCCACCACTTTCCCGATAACATCAACATCATTCCATCTGCCGCGATACACCGTCCCCAGAACTCCACTGCCGATCCTATTCGTAAGCTTGATGACATCGCCAACTTCAGGATGGTTCGGCGGCGGAACAATCAAGCGAAACTCCTCGGTACGGTTTCGTATGACAATTGGCATTGTCAGTGGTTCCTCGCGGTGCTGCGGCACGATGTCTTCCGACCCTGAGTCCCTTTCGACGGCGGTCATCTCGTCCCTGTCTGGCAACGGAGTCGTGTTTTGCTGTTTCGTCGAAGAGGCTGGAGGAACACGTTTAGACTTGGTGGGATGGTTGCCCGTGGGCTTTTGAAGGCTCTCGGATCTTTCTGGAACGTTGGATTCCTTCAGCGTTTTGGCTTGCTCGGAAGCCTTCACCGGCTTCGATACTTTGTTACCCTTCTTCGTTTTAGTGGTCTTGATACGACTACCGCGGTTGCTGGTACCCGTGCCGCGTTCAGTGTAAAATTGTGCGTGAGGTGGAACAGGGTTTCCGAACATCGTGATGAGAGGATGAAAGGTTTCGAGGAGACACGCTTGGACCTCGGAGTCAATGTTGGAAAACTCCTCCTTGGAGGGCCCGTGACGCTCGACAGCAATGCGAAGCATGTGCTGCCCTACGTATGCAAGTGACCAATTGTCACTCTACCATGCGGTTAGACTTGATTCTTGCGGAGAAAAAGTCGCCACACGCACCAGTACCCGATTTCCCACAGCCATCGTCGATGGACCAACGCGGATAATAGGAATGAAATGGCGATCGGACGCCAAAGAACCCCAAGGACTCGCTTGGACGAGGCACTTCCACGCCTAACATGCCGCTTAGCGACACAGCATGATGGAATAGATACAGACGTACTTGCAGATATACATTCTCCCAAAGGGCCAACTTGCTCGGCGGAGCGCCAGCTCTCTTGAAGGACTCTCCTACGGCGTAGATAGGGTATTTAAAGGGTATAGAGACCACAGAATCGCCGTTTGGCAGAGTACTGGTATCCACTCCCTCCGATTGCTTGTAGATCGCGTATTGACGCTGCGACTCGTCGATAACCGGATATCGTTTGATCTCTAGGGAGTGGACGTTGTGGGAAGTTGGTTCAGAGACGAGCTCTGGTGTCGAGGACAACCCTGGCTCTGAAACCCTGGCTGAGATCAAGCGGTCGCAGGCCCCTCCAGAGACGGCGAACTCGGGTTCAATGAAGTACTGCGCCCCAGTGACAGACCTAACACCACATGAGCGGGACCCAGCCGGTAGCGGTCAATGTGCATCTGGACTGATCGCTCTTTCCATCCAACCACGGGAAAAGACATAATCGGCGTCCAAACGTCTTTGAGATCGAGATAGTTGGTGATAGGCTGGCTTGGAGGATGGTGGTCCGTTACAAAGTCTAGAACCTTTCTAGAATAACCAGCCAACGAGTTGAGCTTTTCCCAGTACTGAATGATATAGAGTTGATATTCGACGTCGGTCTTGATGTCGTACTTGGATGCCTGGAGGGTGGATGCAGATGACGAGTGAGGTGAACGGGAGGAGGAACGGTCGTCGAGAGGAGGAATGGAGCAAGCTAGAAGATCAGAGAGCCGTTGTGGCGTCTCTGCCTTGTCTTTGTTTATGTATTGCGACGGCCATAGCTTGAGGGAACGCGCCGAGGTGTATTTCCTGCGGATTCGACATACTACTGGAAACTTGCGATCGAGCAGGAAGCTCATCTTGACGCTGTTGCAGGATGGCCGACGGCGCGGGCGTCTTTCATGCCTCGAAGACCACGGGCGCTTATCCCGCGGAAGCAGATGCACCCCACCCCCCAAAACGGTCTCAGGCTAAATCCCCCGCGGACACCGCGCGCGTCCCGTTAACTCCACAGGGACGGCAAAAAGTGCTTAATTTCAGTGCTCAAGAACTGCGTCTCAGGGCCTGATTACTAGAACTAGGTGTGCTGTATTAGGGATGATAAAGAGCCCCGGGCAGTATTAATGAAAAGTGCTATTAAAAAGAGTTTTATCGTCGGTTTCAGTGCTTTACAATTATTGATAGGTTTATTGATCCGGTCTGATATAACCAATCACTCTCTCATTGTTTCCACTAGCACCACCCTTCCTAAGCTCAGAAGCCTTCTCTCCGGTCCTGGTCTTGTGTCAGTAGGTTATTTTCGAAGGGAGTACATCACTTACATGTGCATATATCTTGCTCACCAGATGCCGGAGCATGCTGAATCAGGTACCAGAGAAGGGTGGTGTGGGAGGGGGGAGGAGGGCCAGGAGGGTGAGAGGACAGATGCAGTGGTGGTGGTGGTGGTGGTGATGATGATGACGGTGG